ATGTGTTCATAAAGGAATCCATCTTAGTAAAACTTCCATAGGGTATCTCATTCAGTAGGAACAGGGCCAGGAAATGTAAAGATAAATATATTTGCTATATGCCTTTTTTGTTGTTCTGCCATACACATTACGACAGACTCACTGCAACTGTTTCGATATCTGATTGAATTGGAATAAGATGTCACACAATGTAAGTGATAATTATGCAGAGAGCTACCTTATATTCAACTTGATTGTTTACTGGTGCAGAATAATCAGGAGCAATGTCCGATTTTTATGCAGCGTTTACTCACGTATTGGTCGGCGAACCGTTCACAGAAAGGAAAGGGATGGTACGAAACAAGCAAAAAAAAAAAACAAAAAAAAACAATGGTTGTAATTTATCGCCCACTCCCTGTGTTAATACAAATGTTGAGATGCTGATATGGATTGTGAGTAGTAATCACGGTGATTCAGATGTCAGGGACCGGTCTGTGCCGTCGGGACGTACTTAGCAAATCATTTGTCGATCTGAGAACCGTACGTTACGCATATTGCTCACATTTAAGTCCCGTATTGCTCTGGGTCAATAATTCTGATGTTTCACTAACAAATTAAAAATAACAGAACCCACAACACTATGGCCCTTCGAACTAAGAGACGCGGGACCTTTTTAAATGTATAGAACGTTTACAATGGTATTGCGTCGAAGTGCCTGAAAATAGCCTCACTTTGAACAAGGGAATTGATGGCTACATAAACAATTATTTCCCATCACTTTGAAGAGTTTTAATTTCAACGACAGCTGACGTTCTCAAAGGACGTAAATATAGCGTGCTTCTTGAGTTGTTTTAATGTGTATATCAATGCTTTCGCGAAAGTATTGGTAGCTATAATATTTGAGCTCTTGTTAGATATTTTCGACTACACGCAATTTAAATTTTATCAGCAAGATATGTTTTTGGCTTGTTCTTAGTATGTGTATGTGATAAACGAAACTAAAATTAGAGGTACATTGCAGGAAACTCCCGTTCAACCACTGCCTCGTGATAAAAGCGAAGCTCACGGAAATTATACACTAGCGCCAACGTAACTGGCATGTGTATGTTTCATCATCGTGTGCCTAAATGCAACGAACAAAAGACACGGAGTTCACATACTGGTATAGATGGTATAGAAACAAATCCTTTATTTTGTTTTTTTCTGGTTTGCCACAAAAACGAATTGATGCAGCCGAGACAATTTAATTTTACGTCACGACGACAGGCAGAACCAGTGCAGCTTTAACGATTGCCACTAGGAGTTGAGTTATTTCATCGGAGGAAATAGATATCGCACCTTGAGTCGATACAGCAAAGCGTATACACACAATTTTATTATTCTTTTTTTTTAATATTTGAGAAGCATTTGTAAATGGTTTCGGATGAGATGCGCATATGGAGTTTTTGCTGATTGGTTTAACAACATCTCCCGTGACGTGACTGACAGGGAGGATTTTACGAATACGGGCAATACCACTCAGAAAACAAGGCTTGCGCCCCACCCCCTCCCCCTAACGTTATCGCTAGTGAATCCACGCGGCGTCACCCAGCTCGCGTCAGCGTCGCTGCCAAAGCGTCTTGCAGCGTCTCACAGGCGCCTGCCGCTTTGCGGCATACGCTAGTTGAGCTTCGGCGTGTTGGCCGCTTTGGGGCGGGTCGGGGATTCACTAACAATGAGGTCATGCGCCGGGCTTGTCTTCTACGTGGTATTGTTATAGGACACTGAACACGGATCACACGGAACACATCTACTGCAGATACTGCGCGAAAGACCACACACACACACACACACACACACACACACACACACACACACACACACACACACACACACGCACACGCACACGCACACGCACACGCACGCGCACACACACACACACACACACACACACACACACACACACACACACACACACACACACACACACACACACACACACATGAAAATAATATTTTCATCATTCTTGTCCAGCACGCTTGCACCTTTGCATTTAATTGCATTCTAATTATAACCTTAAATTGCAAGCTTCACCCTTGTTGGTGTTAGACTGGTGGCAGCTGATAAAACCCGTTTGCTCTACTGATGTCTAACCCCTGGTTAGCTCAATTGGTAGAGCGCTCCACCTGTAATGGAGAGGTCCCGGGTTCGATACCCGGACCAGGCGGATTTTTTCGGTCGCGCACCAGTCACCTAGCTGTGTTTGGAGATTTGTGTTTGTCCTTTGTCCCTCTTGTTCCCCTTCTCCAGGATTTATTTCCATTATATATATATATATATATATATATATATATATATATTACAAAAATGTGCCTGATAATTATATGAAGACATATAAGATCCTATAAGAACTTATATAGGCCTGACAAGTGCCTTGTACAATTTATATAGTTTCTGATGTGTTTAATTGGGAAATCTTATATAAATGTTTTTTTTTCCTTTCCTTATAGGGCTGGACCACCCACTTCATACTCGTCTATATAGAATATGATACCGTCAAGATAAATCTACATAAAAGATTTTAACAAAAAAATTAAATCAGATGTTGATTGGTAAGGTTACATAAAAAACCGCAACGTACCCCAAATTTGTTTACCTTACTACAAAAAAAAAAAAAAAAAACTGCGAATATAGGTTTTGCGCGTGCGAGCGCGCGCGTGTGTGTGTATGCGTATGACAATTCTCTACGTCGAAACGCCGGTGATTTTTCACCTTTCTCGCAAACAGCGTCGCAAGGAAGGCATAAAGCTTTCCTGCATGAGCAGAGCCCAACCCACGCGAAGATTTGTACTCGCGGAGGCTGTCCCGAAAAACAACGAAAAAGCGCGTTTGCGCCGTCTACGAAGCGTGAGCGCAGATAGCGGTTACAAGAAATAAAAAGCAGGACGCAGTCTTTCGCATTTTTCGTGGGAACAACATCCAAACAACACGGAGCAAAGTGAATGGTCGTAGTATTTGCCACAGCTAAATCTTTGAAACAAACATAATTTCAAGAAAGAAAGAAAGTAAATAAATAGCGAGCGAACTTTTTGTTGCGGTGACTTGCTGGCTCTCTGGTTCACTTGGCCTCCTGGGCGAGGAACCACTACACGCGGGGTCTTGATGGGAACTCATGCACGTTCCCTAAAGCTGGTTGGCGGGTGAGTGATTGTTTCTCAGCAAAAGCGGCGCGGAGTTCTCTGAGGCAACGGAGCTGATTTACGGAGACAGGGCGGAGTCTATTGCGTTACACAGCTCGATTACACCTCCCGTCGACACCAACAAGCCTTATAACGAAGGGAAGGAAGTTCATATCGAATTGTGTATAGAGTAATTAAACATGTTTAGTTTCTCAGGTTAAAGTGGTAGGCCTACGTGAGAAGTGCCATAAATGAGAATTCCTATTTTCTGCCAATCCGCCTTCGAACTTGGTAAACGGGTAAGCCGTTTCTTTAAGCAGTTATTTATATGCCTACGCCTAACAGTCCGTGATTTCAATTTTTAAATTTACAGTACTATTTTAGCAGATATGTTGGTCATCAGTTAGTCTTAAATACCGTATATGTCAACGTCATAGGCATGTGTAAGAGTGTCTGATCAGTAGGCAAGCATTTGGGGCCCTTACAACGGAAACGTAAGTCCAACTATTGTAAGGAAATCTCACTATTAGGCGATTTTAGAGACGGGACATCCACCTCTCATGCATACTGGGGCGGGCGCATCATGTTATACATTTAAGATATTTAAACAAGACGAGTACAATAAATTTCTAGGAATGAATGCGTCGTGTAATCACTTGTTTTTGTTACTCCATTCATCGGCTGCATATTAGAAGGAACTTGGTGGGCCTTGTGGTAGTTAATTTAAAACATGGCACTAAATTCCCGGTTCAAGCCAGTCTGCAATATTCAAAATTAAATCGATCTTTCCACATGTCGTCAAGGCGACATTTATGACACGACGTTCCCATGACAATATTCTACTCACCGACATCCGACGTCACAATTTATGCTGTCTAAGGAAGCATCGATCGCTTATCGTAATAATTTTCCGACCTCATACAAGGACCACTTCGTCATTCAACACAACGCCATAACATCGAGGAGGGCATGCTCCCCGATAATTAGGGTAATACTACTCTTTACCCTTTCCTTGTAGGTGTTGACACTATCGTAATTTTTCTTGTAACTTTATCACGGTGATGAAATATAAGACCATGCTTGAGCGGGCGTTGTCTACCAGCTAAATGCCGCAGCCAGCATGAGGAAGTCTTCTCTCTGATACCCGCTCACCCGTCACGGATGCTTCGGTGCCTCGAAGAGTGGTCGCGAAACTAGTAGAAACATGCTCCTATTACGTAGAGAAAGATAGAGAGATAGAGATGGAAAGAAAGCAGGGTCAAGCTAGGCGCGGAACATTAAACAAACTCGCTCCGGCTTTCTGGGAGGGTGTACGAAACGCAAAGCTCGAAGCATCAACAACAACAAGAACGGCAACAACGCTAGAGCGACGGCGACACCGCTAACCACCGGGAGCGGTCTCGAGTTGGGTTCGTTCCGGACGTGCGCACTGGAGCACCAATGGCTGTTCTCCTTCGGGACTTCTCCGGAAGGCGTCGTCACCGGAGAGCGCACGAACCCAGTTGTCTTGTTCCCGACACCACCAAGTATACGTGTCACGGCGTGGTCGCCTCCGGACCACGTCATCACCTCACCACGACCGCTTCTCAGGGGACGCGGCCTGGCTTGTCTTGGGTAATGGCGACTCCTCCTAGGGAACGAACGACGGCACCACCACGTGAAGAACCATCCGTCGCAAGAGTGTTTTTCGAGTAGCTGAGTCTGCCGGTGCCTGTCTTTTAGGGTTTTTTTTTCTTCTTTTTTTGGGGGCGATGCGAGATAAACGTGTCACTCCGGTGCCTGGGGGAAGCTGTGACTTCGAAGCGGAAAGGCAAACGGTCGGCTCTACAGTGTCCTGCCGTCCACATGGTAGCACTCCGGATCTCACAGTGCGGCCAAGACAGCGGAAGCAGCGAGGGCCAGCGCTGACGAGATCAGTGCCACTGTTGACGTCACAGAGGTGGAGGCTCGTCCGCAAACACGGTAGTCCTCCTGAAAAAATAATAAAAAAGGAACTTTTATCCATCATATTGATAAGCCCTCGGGGAGCACAGAATACGTCGTTTAGGCATTATGCGTGCCTTGTAATTTGTTAAGCTTTGGTACGGAACGCTTTCGGTAGTTTCGGATCTGTTGCGCGCGCGACCGACTCGTGGATTCCCCAGGTATGGCAGTATGGTCAAAACAAGTCTAAACTTATGCCGGTCACGCAACGTCGTGAGATCACGTGGAGAGCTACGCTTCGTTATTCGGAAGCCAGCAGCGCTCGCCGACCATCGCCTGTTGCCACAGGCTCCCTGGAGTCATTATTGTTGTCCCTTCCCCTTGCAAATAGCGAGCGATTGCAGATTTGGAACTTGGGGCATTCGGTATCGATAGTAGAGCTGCAGAGCATCCGCTCCCAGGGTCACATTGTAACGTGATGCAGCAGACGAATTATCTCTTCCAGAGCTATATGTATATAGGGGCCCTGACCCCTTCTCGCTAACAGCACCGCCGCGTGGCCACTGCCGCTGCTGCTACGGCCGCAATTCTGGCTCTTCTCCCCGATAGCGCTCTAACAAGCGGCCGAAGTTATTTTAGAGCGCAGCTCTTAGGCGCCGGCTTCGGGCTTGAGCGGCGTCGGTGTTGCCGTCGCCGTAACCAAGGTCACCCCAAGGTCACGTGATCCCTCCCAAGGTCACGTGACCCCCAAGGTCTCGTGACCCCCCGAGATCGCGTGGCCCCCCTCCCCGAGGTCACGTGACCCCCCCTCCCCCCCCCCCCCTCCGGGGTCACGTGACCCCCTCCCCCCGAGGTCAGGTGACCCCCCCGGAGGATATTAAAGAATGAGCGGAGGAGGAGGAGAAGGAGGAGGAGGGGTCTACCCTCCCCTCAGTACCCTTCCCTTCTCCCCCTCAAGAGCTGCGCTCCAATTCGGCGTTACAGGGAGTTGTAAACGGCTTTCACTTTTTTCATCTCAACATGGCAGTTTCCTTTTTTAATCTCACGTTCCGTTGCTAATCTCGCGAGTGAGAGTATAGGAGCTACCAGGTCACAAAACGACACCTTTGCATGGTCGTAGCACTTGTCGGGGCGCCGTCGATACCGATGTGGACGCTGACAGGGCGCCGGGTCATCAACTGGGATGGGGAAAAAAAAAAGAAAACTTGTTTCGAGAAACTACAAAATATAAAGCGCCGAAAAAACAAACAAACAAAAACGACAAGACAAAGAGGAGAGTAAACAGGACAAGGCGCTCCCGTATGCGCCTTCTCCTGTTTACTCTCCTCTTTGTCTTGTCGTTTTTTTGGCGCTTTGTATTTTGAACGTGAGCCAACTGGCCCAAATTTCCACGTTGTCGAAGCTACAGATCAGCTCCGCCTCGACCGTCTCACCTTCAGTGGGTGCTTGTAAAGGTGTCGGGGGTGGATCGCAGAATACTGGAGCACACGGCATCTTCGAGATAACCAGGATCAGGTTTGTGTAGCCCACTCGTCCCACGCCGTACTGCCTGCTCACACCGTTTTTGCGAGATCAAAACTGGTTTGGACCACAAGATGCGCGAGGAAGAGTTGCTTCTTTGACTGTGCATGTTCACTCTAAATCTCGACATGCTTTTTTTTTAAGTAAGTTATATTTTTAGAAGTACACAGAACTAAACAAGAGCATGCTTGCTTCTTGAATTCAGAAATTCAAGCTCATTGCAGACAGAAAGAAAATGCTAAGCAAGAATTAACTTTTGTAGTTTGTATTGAGCCGAAATATAGTATCTGGATACTTATCTGAAGAAAAACGCGAGCGTTTTCCTTACCATGCTAACTGAATTTTACTTTCACGAGTAATTCAACGGATTCCACAAAATCTTAAAAGAAGAATGATTAAACTTAAGGGGTAAACCGATTTGGATTGCCCAACTTCAGAACCCATTGCAATACGAGCGACGCGCAGAGCTACTATAGTCAAATACACATTAAGAATGCGCCAGAAACTTCTCCCTCACCCACACTATCATCATCCAGTGTACCTCCGCGACGCTCAAATAGTCCCCTACCGAGACGCACGTCGCACTCGCGTCACGTAACTCATCATGACTGTTTCTTTCCTCCGGTTTGTCCGTGGAGAAATTCGATACCATGGCTGGTGCGTTATGCTGCTTATTTTTTCATTATTTTACTTGTATCCGGCTGTAGCTTCCCATCTGGGCTTCACACACTCCTTTAAACCGCTCGTTGTTTTGGATCACGCCGACTATAAATCCCTTTCGAAAGTCACTTGCCGATTATTAGAAGGTTGGAACCTCTCCATAATGGCGGAACAACTGCACCGGGGAACGTGCAAGCCATTCCATGAGATAGATAAACGTCGGAGCGCGGCAAACACTCCGAGCCGACGAGCCAATCAAACAGCGTCGAAAGTGCAACGTCACTGCGCTCATCGCCTTTTTTTGTGGGTGTGTTTTTTTTCCAGTGTGCCGTGACGTTGAGGTTTTAGTCCGCCATTGTGCAGGGTTTCACAGCTGCCAGCAGAGGGCAGTATTTCGAAAGGGGTCTATGGACCTTTCCAATCATCACCTTTTGTAAGCTGCCATCTTTGCCATTCTGGACTGTGGAACAAGTTTTGAGCTTGCGCAGCTAGTGGCTCTCTTTCACGGAATATAAGACGCCACGCATGCGTCCACAGGTTACTCAACAGTTTTCGCCTGGTTGACGCGCGCTGGAAAGGTCTAAATTCACCGACAGCTTAAAAAACGCAGGGCGTGACTTCTTATAATCACGCTTGTTGCCTCGTCCTTCCTTCTTCGGAGTTCTTATCAGATAAGACCTCGATTTTATTGGCTACAGAGTGAGAATATAGACCTTTCCGTCGCTTATCACGCGGGCAAAACATGCCGAGTCACTGGGCTAAGGACAGATGCGCAGCGTCTGATCTACCGTACAGCAGAGCAACAGCACTCGCTCAAAAGGCGTTCCAGAGCCCAGCAGACAAAGATGGCAGCGCGCAGAAGGCGATTTTTGCAAAAATCTATAGGATGCATGTACCTCGCCACATCGCGCGTTCCTTAAAAGAGCGGTGCAACAATTTGGGTGCTTTGCTTAAATAATTTGGGAGCTGGTGTCTCGACCTGTAAAGAACAAAAAACCGCTTTTGCCTGCATGTCCTAGTTTTTTTATTCAAAATGGACAAAGATTGAGGTTTTCGGCATCTCTCAACTTTTTCACCATCTTCCGAGTCACGTGCGCTGTTACGTCAATGGAGGACGCGCGGGGTTCCGGTGAAGCTGTCTCTCTAGAGCCATCAGTGAGCAGCGAGAACTCACTCGCTCGCGACCACGTGACCACGGGCTTGCGCAGCGCGATCAACATCGCAAAAGAAGGAAAGTCTCATCCGCGTCCGGCCATCCCCGTCAGGCTTTGCCCCCGTTCCCCTTCTGCTTTTGGCGGCTGTTCGCGGTAACAGATAGACGGTTTTGTTGACCTCGGATAGATGGCGCCACTAAAACTTCGTATAATAAAAGTTTTGTCGATGATACCAGGTTTTTGACGCATTCATATTTATGTTTGTACGACAAGATTTACAGAAAAATTACCTTTTATCGAGCAGGTATTTGAACAACTTCCTATCTTTTGACAAGTCCCCCATTGACGTCACGCCGCTAGTTTCTCATGGCCGCCGTTCGCGGCTGCAGGTCGGGAAATATTATAATTTTTGCTTTGCGATTACGCGGCGGAATTGCAACATTTTGAAGGAGGTGTGTTTTTTGTCCTTTGTGACAAGGTAAACAATGTCAAAAGTAGAAGATGCAAGCCCTTTCAACATTAAAATCGTTGCACAGCTCCTTTAAAGGGCCCTTGAAAACAAAACGCAAACAAACAAAAATGTGTTTTTAGACAGTCTGGTTGGGACACGCGTGTCAAAAAATAAATTTTACGCAAAAACAATTTTTTTAGAGCAATATTGACGGCGCAAGACACGATTTAGTCGGTGGTCACCTCATTTCCACTTGTTTTCTCTCTCCGCATTTTGTTGAGGTGGAAAGAGAAATGGTTATCTCGTTGAGCGAATGACCGTTCCGTGACGTCATGAACTTTGCGCGCAGAATTTCAAATAAATCTCTCACCGTCAATATTGCTCTAAAACATTTTTTTTCGCGTAAAATTAGTTTCTCGACATGTCTGTCCCAAGCAGACTGTAACATGTTTTTTTCCTTTCAGGGTTTTCTTTTTAGGTGCCGCCGGCGACTACAGTCCATTCGGGCCAGGCCTTATGAATAAGACAGCTCTCCTCGAGTACGCACCTGGAGCAGTTCTCGCAGTCCAGGCTGCTCATGAAGTAACTGCTCCGGTTTCCGAAGTGGTACAGGGCCTCCCTGGTGGTGCACACGCGGTAGTCGTCCGGCGCGTACGAGCTCTTGGGGCCACCTTGGCCGACTGAGCACCCAGGGTCGTCAGCGACCACAGCGACCTGAGCCCATGTGCCGAAAACAAAAATATGCTTTGCTTTAAGCTGCAAGTGACACGCCTCACGCACCAATTTTAATTTTACAGCGCAATTATATTCTTTTAAAAGGCCAAGCTTTCCGAAATTGCATGGAGCACGCATCGAAGAACTATTAAAGAAAAAAATGAAGGACGCCATAACTTCGGCTTTAAGAGTGGAACGCGATAGCGTTATTGGGCCCCGTTCTCATCGCCTTCTTATTCCCTTCTCATGGTCTTCCTGTCGGTCAGCAGGAAGTGCGGCGGACATGGCCTAGATCAATAGAGGAAAAACAAAAGAAAAAAAGACACCCGTCCTAGGTAGTAGCGTGTGTGGCTCGAAACCGAAGGGTCGTAGGTTCGAATCCCTCCTAAAGGGGTATTCACACGAGGGGTATTCAGGCGCGCATCACGAGATGAAAACGCGAGGCTTTTGCACATCGCAAAGCCTGACGTTTTCGTCGTGGGATCCGCGATTTCTTCCTCGTGTGAATACTCCTTCAAGGGGTACTGAGATGAGGGAGAAATCCCGGGGGATTTATCCATGGCACGCGCATCCCACGACGAAAACTTCAGGCTTTGCGATGTGCAAAAGCCTCGCGTTTTTGTCTCGTGATGCCCGCGTGCCGGGGAAAAATCCCCGGGATTTCTCCCTCGTGTGAATACTCCTTAAAGGTCTTAAAATGTTCCTTCAAGGTAAAAGAGTTACTCTATGAAGTGAAATCTTTTGAGACATGCAGCGACCTTTAATTCGCACTACGTGTAATGTTTTTTATTCACATTCATTCCACGCGTGACGTCACGCTTCCCGTGAGGGTTGCGTGTTTGAAATTTCTGGGCGAGGTCATGTGGCTGTGACGTTATGACCCGGTCAACCAATGAGGATTGTCACGCCACCGACACCGGTTTTTTTGTGACACGATGTCCTTAACACTACTCGTTAAAGAAGACTGTGATAACACCAAAGGCCACAAGATCCTGAACTTCGAAGCATCCGATTGCGCAACGCCTAGTCAGATGTCGCGCTAGTAGCGCGACAATAAGAGCCGGAACACAACATCGGCGCTTCTTTATTTTGCATTTTCCCTAGAAAAATCTTGACGAGCATCAAAATTTGCCGTATTGATCAATTACCAAGTAAGCACTTTCGACTTCACTAGATAGTTTTCGTGGTACCCTTTAAACAATAATGAAAACAATAATAAAAATCAATAATGACCATCGCTTGTTTGTGCTAACTAGGTCGTGCTCTGTACATATGCATGTGACGTTCATCGCCGACCTTTTAAGTTATTCCAACAAAAACTGGGAGTACATTTGGAGAGTGTTCACAATGCACGAAGGTAATTTTTGGTTGGTGCAGCTTTTACTTGGAGTTAACGAAGATTGTGTCAAGAATAAAAAAGAAAAAAAAATCTGCGGAGAGCAACTGTTAGCTCATCATCGAGTTATTACCAGTCTTCCTGACATATATTCTAATATTTATGAGTATATATTCAATTAACTTCTTTAGTTTTCACTTCCCCCACGAAACTCATTGCGAGAATTGTGTTCATGCAAAACATTTGTTATAACACGGTGTAATTTTCGTTGTATAGCTTTGGAACAAATGGTGAGTGGTGAGAAAAAGGGACGTGCTCAACAAGCCCTGTTTTTGTCGATATAGGTCGCATAGATTATATTATAATGAACAAAAGTTTCATCAAAGTCTTCTTTGCAAGTTAAGAAAATGCTGACTAAAACACGCATAAAAGTCAAATTACACAGATATTAAAAAAAATATGGCTTCTCTGAACTGCATAAAATATTACAGTGAGTTGAAACCCGAGGGAAAGCTAGCGAGTTTTTATTTCTAGTCGGGCCTTCAATTTTATACGTGACTTAGGTTACCGGTAGAAGTTAGACGTTACCGGCGATTGTCGAAACTTTCTAAATGCATGCTGGTAAGTCCCATTGTCAGGAGGACCGTATTCAATGGATCTGGTGTGTGGGAACGTACTCTGGAATGTTCTTAAAGGGATATTCACACGCTGGAGAAATCCCTCCGCTTGCTCCCCGGGATTTGCATCACGTGGTAACAACGTTAAGCTTCTGCGCGGAGCCGTGCTGACGTAGACATCCCAGGGGGAGGGGCGAGCTTTGGTTCGGGCTGCACAAGCGCTGTCCGCCTTGGCTTGGGATCTCTTTTGCAATTGGCGGCATTTTATTCGCGTGTCCGGCATTTTTCCAGATTTTGCTCAGCGAGATGCCGGTGGTGGCACGGGGATCATCCAACTTGTTGTGGATTGCCGATGATGTCGTCCGAGGCATCTTAAGGTGTCTTCGGTATTCATCAATGCCATCCTCAAGCCGCTCCTCTCACAACTAGATTTTGATTCCACGTCCTTTGTGTTGTATCTAGCAACTCAAGAAGCATCTTTCTTTTAACAGGAAGCAGTTCGTCATCTTCTGCATCTAACCGCGCTGCTGCTATAATCGCGTAGGGCCGTTTTATGTGTGATTCTACTGTCGTCAGGGCGCACCGAGCCCTGTTGTCGAGCGTGCGGTCGCTACATGGATCTAATAATATTAACATCCCTCTCGGCTTCTCCCCGTTCGAGTGGATGCTTGAGTAGGGGAGGGAGTCCCGCTGGTTCCGCCGATCACTGACGTCTCGCGCTTCCCTTCCCCGTAAACCATCCCTGTGTGGCCCTTAAACACGGTAACAAAATCATATAAAAAAAAAAAAAGAAAAGACAAAACAACGTCGTCTTACGTGTATATCCAGACTTTGAGTAGTTGCCTGAAAGGAAAAAGAAAACAGGTCTTCAACATGACGAAAAGTTTGGTAATCAACTACAACAAAGTGAAAAAAAAAAGTATGCTCCACAAATCTTACCAAGATGCCGCGTCTAACACCCAGCTGATGTCGAAGATGTGAAAAATGTTTTTTAGAGGCTGCAAGAAGAAGCAACGATAACATTTTAATTGTTTATTTACACGTACTCATTGTTCTGCCGGAGTGAATTAAAAGGTGGGATTAAATTTGCTGTGCGTTTGTAGATTTGCACAAAAATAAGTACAAGCGCGCTGGCTTAGACCACGCGGGTAGAGGAGTGTTTCAGCTATCTTGTGCCAAGGTCTAAAAAAAGTTGGTCGCTACGCGTGTTGAAGAACGCAGTATTGTTCACGGTCCTATTGAGGAAGTAAAAAAAAATTTTCCGGTTTCCAAATTTGTTAATTTACGCAAAATAATGAGCTAACTTTTGAATAATAATTTATGTGCTAACCTCCTTATACAAAAATTGTCGGACGTTTTGAGTTACATTCCATTTTGCCGCTCTCATCAGGTAGCCTCTAAGTGGCTTATTTTAGTGGCCCTTAAATAAACAACAACAGCAACTGAGATTAAAAAAAGGCCAGACAACACACATGAGCGATGAAAACGGGCGCCACGCGGCAGTTTCCATAGCAACTTGAGCGGACGGTGTGACGTGTTGTGTAAACGGAAAAGCACCGGACCAGACCCTCCCTATCTAATCCGTCCGGCAACGGTGAACTCATTGAGTAGCATCGCCACATGGCTCCGGTCGGCTTGCCCGGAAACAAGGCGAGAGGCGACAAGGGGGTGCCGTGGGACCACCGTGTTGGCGTCGCCCCAGCTAGGCGCGGAGCTAAGCCGGACCCTTCTTTCTGGCTGCGTTAACGCTGGTCCGAAACGGGGTCAGCCGACTCAAGAACAGGAGGATTACCGGGCCAGGATTCCGGGTAACGACGCGCCAGCTGCGGGACCTCCGTGAGGGTGGGATTATCCCCGGACGCTACCTGCGGATGATCCGGCCAAGCCCTTTCCCGTGCCTCAACGCCGTCTGATGGAGGGGTCAGCACTACCACGGCCAACGTCGTCACCCGGGCAAACACTGGACCCCTTGCTGTCGCCTCCTCGGCGCAGCTTTCGAGGGCAAGGGTGCCTCGGCGCCGGAGTGTAAAGTCCGGCCACAGCTGCAGTGTGTGCATGTGGGTGTGTGCGTGCTCAGGGGATGAGTGAAGGCGGGGCCTGAACATGATTTGTTGGCAGCTCGGCCACCATTGGCTGCCAGCCGCGAGAGTACCGAAGAGCGACCCTATAAAAGGGGCAAACAGAACGTCGCATCTGTGCTCTCGGACGTTGTAACTACTTTGTACATACGTATTAAACAAAGTTTCGTTGCGAGAGACCCTCCCGTCTCGTCATGTTCCTGGACGGGAGTCTGCCCGCTGCTCCTTTCCTGGCCTGGCCCTGCGTGACGCTACCCGGAGAACCCCCTCGGTCCCAACAGACGTGAATGCTATACCATGCCACCACGTTACAGCGCCCACGCAAATTGCTATAGGAACTGCCTCGCGGCGCCTGTCTTCATCACTCACGTGTCCCCCCTTTAGGGCTTTTAGTCACGTGTGATTTTTTTTAAATATCTCGATCGCTGTCTATGAAGCTCGAAGTAATTAGACGCAGGAAGGCTACCTCGATGGATAAGGCACAATTGGATATGTTTCCCAACACGCGCTACAATGTTTCATCGGATTTGCGCCCACATTATTTAAAAAGAGTTAGATAATTAATTTATTTGTGTTGATTAGTCGATTCGACACACCACAAATATTATCTTGACTTGCTCAATAGGACTGTGACGAACACTGCGTTGGTTTGAGACGCGTAACGTGCGCCAGCTTGGCACAAGTTGGCGGAGTCACCAAAGATGTTTTGTATATTTCTCATTGAATCACGAAACGATACATGGTAAAATATGATCAGTATGGGTCGTGGTTTAAATTGTTCGAAGCGGTAGCTTTATAGGACCACTTAACCCAGGCGCGGCCTATGCACGAAGTCTGTGGGTTGTTCGGCTCGTAACCGCTAAACGATCTTAAAAAAAGCGGCGACCGGTGGCAGGGATCGAACCCCGGTCAGCGGCGCGGAAGCCGATGGCGCTCTGAGCTACGGACGCGGCAGGCAGGAACGGGTGGAGCAGAAGCACGAGGTGTGAGAAAGCGCGCGAAGTGGAGGGGTGTGGAAAGGGCAGAAAAGAGGAGCAGAACCAGGTGGCGTAGAAAGAGGGCGCGGAACGAGGAATGAAAGGGGCAGGAAAGCGCACTTCTCCTTATTGGTGGCTTAAAACCGCCAAACAATTTCGACAAAAAAAAAAAAGAGAGAGAAAGGCAATTCGCGTTAGGGATTTAACCCCGGTCACCGGCATGGAAGCCGCATGCGCTGCGGATTGAGCTACAGATTCAGCACGCAGAAACGGGAGGATCAGAAGGATGTGGTGTGAGAAAGCGAGCTGCGCGGAAAGGGCTGGAAAGGGCAAGGAAGAAAAGAGCGGAAACAGGTGGTGTAGAGAGAGCGCGCGGAACGAGGAGTAGAAAGGGCTGAAAAACGCATTTTCCGTGTTTTGTTGACTCGGAAAGTTCAGCGGAAAAGCTTTTTATCCGGTTGGTGTGTAAGGAAAGCGCGCGCAGCGTCACAAAGAGACAATGGTATGACGTAATCTGCTTTCATACTAAACTCTGCCCTAGGCACCACCTGAACAAAGAGCACCACCCACCCCAGGCACCTGAAGACAAATGGACATCCCAGGCACCACCCACCCTATAAAGCTATCATAATTAAACGCGCTTGGTAGAGTGATCAAACATGCAGCAAATTTTAGTTAATATAAAGCAATATACAGTTCACAATTCAAGGGTCATTTGGGTTCGGCGCTAATGCACATTGTAACATAAAAAAATGTATTGTTTACTTGATAGTATACATCAACGAATAATTACTGCAATATAGTTCAAACTATAAAATAAATATTCTAAATGAAGGAAACAAAAGAAATAGGAGGGCATGCACTCATGGCATAAGAACCATTGACTACTTGAAAATGTAACGGCTAGATTATTTCTTTTTTTAAATCTGTAATGATGAAATATCAAGATCAATGACAAGTTATATAGTGCAAGCCCAAGTCTCGAACGGTGAGGTAATGAGGTGTTAGGTTGAGATGCTCGTTTACCAACATGGACGACCTCGCTCCCGCTGTGTACTTCCGCACTCGTGGGCATCGAGACTCTGTATGCAGTTCCTCAATCCTGCGAAAGTATGTAATTTCCCTCTTAGAAAGCGTACCTTAACTTACTATCATCTCAAGAGTTACAAGCACCACTGGAGCGCCAGCTTATACCAGACTACGGATGTCGGCCAGTCCAAGCGACGACTGGGGCGAGTGATACTGGCTTGTGGCGCAGGTCTGGTAGGCTCGCAATGGCAGATGCACACGACGGACCGAATCGCGATTTTATTTCGCAGACCGCGATCTTGTCTGCACGTCCTCCAGCTCAGTCAACCAGTACGATTTTTCTTGCAGCACCGGCGAACTAAAGAGTTCGCCGCTGCGTGAAATTTCTTCACGCACCGCGCGAGCGCGCGGCGCGTGAGGGCACCTTCAATCCCCCTTCGTAAGCCCAAGATTCCATCGTTTCTAGGTCCAAAACTCCCCTCGAGCAGGGGTGCTATGTTGCGCTTTTTGGACTCCCAAGAGACTAGGGAGAAGGAAGTGACCTCAACGACACAGCAAACGCAGATTGGGTGTTGATTTCGTTTTCTTCTGTCAACAATCAATCTGCGTTTGCTATGTCGTTGACGTCACTTCCTTCTCCCTAGTCTCCTGGGAGTCCAAAAAGCGCAACATAGCACCCCAGGAGTATGCTTGTGTAATTTCTTGGGTTAGTAAAGCTGGTGGCGCGCAAGCCTGTCACGGTGTTTTGTCTTGCTCGGAACGTAACATGGGCACACAAGGATTCTTATTAGTATAATGCAATTAAATGCAAAGGTGCGAGCGAGCTGGACAAGAATAATGACAAAAAGAATCCCTGGAGCTGTGTTTGGAGATTTGTGTTTGTCCCTTATCCCTCTTGTTCCCCTTCTCAAGGAATTATTTTCGTCAAGGACTCTTTTTCGCGGCTATTGCCGTGACCATAGCGTCAAACGTCGCTTTCGCTGTTGGACAACGGTGCCAGAGTGCGCTGTGGGCGTTTTGCCGCCCTGTGTGGCCACAAATAGGTTCGGTTCGTCCTCGTTGTCGCCTGCTCGTCGTAACCTCCGTGTGGATGCCCTTAAGAGACGGACGGTCCGTGGACATGTCGTCACGTGATCAATCCCGGATTAGTTTGTCGTGTGAATCGTTCATAAGGGATCGGATGCACTTGAATGCGTTTAAAGAGCAAAGACGTTGCTGGTTCACGCTATACATGCTCAATGTACGGTTTTCACCTATTTCCACCTGCAAATAAAGTTTGGTTGTATGGCCATTTTGACAACTGGGAGTTAATCTGTTCTAAAATGTGGCAGGTTGTGTCATCGCAGCAGAGGTTGATACTTCACCAAGGGAATAATACTGATAACCCGAGGTCTTTAACATGCGTCAAGCTACAACGCCCGTCTAAACCAAAATCTACAGAAGTGAAATAGTTTGAATTCACAGTGTTCAGCCTGTGAGCATTTGCTCCATATTTAGACGAGCTTCACGTATTCATTCCCTCAAACCGTAGGATGCTCGCATTTAGCTGTTGCATGCTCTTTGACGCAATGCTTTGTGCACATACCGCGGGCTGAGAACGTTTGCGTCAACAGACTGTTAGCACTCACTCCTTTCGTTTCTGTGAATAGACCAGCCTCCGGGTGATGTTCTTCTGAGATTATCTGGCGATTGCAGGCAGCTCATAATTGGTAGGGTGATCGCACGCGCAGGTCCTAATGACTGAAGGTTTCAATTTCGGAATTTATAATATGTATTGTTTCGTTCGAGCATTATGCCAGCTGACATTGACAGGCGTCTGGCTTTGGAACTTACTTGAAATATACTGATTTCTTCAGCATGTCGTCCATAAGTTCTGGGTCTACTGCTCCGACAAATTTTCCTACCTGCAGAAACACATTGATATAATAATAATAATAAAGAAAAAAACACCATAGTGTCTACGCGCCTTGAAAGGTGAAGATGGTAGAATAGTTTTCGAGCATATTCGTAAAAGAGAAGTGGTTGTACAAAGAAAAGCTATAATAATTTCGAAATATTTACTTTATCACATTAATTAAGTTAGCACAATGGTGAACGAGAAAACAGAGTGCTCTATGAGCACATTCAGTTTAAAGAAGCTGTCACCATAATAAAATGATTCAAAATACCCACTATTAGGTTTTGTAAGAAATCGCTAAAATATTTTTACGACTGTGTAAAAATAATAAAGGTGAACAATTGTATTCCATGTTTCATTGTTTTAACAGAAAGACAGCAAAACTTTTCAACAGAGTTTAATTTTCTTAATCTTGAGCAGTTGGTCAATTTTAATTGGTTAAAACTAAGTCTTTATGACCACGTGTATGTAGTCAGTCACCCGCACAGCAATAAATGCGCATCTATTCTCTTACATTTTCAGCATGATCATCACCGCTTGATGTGATAATGAAGCCGCCGTCGTCGAGAAGGTAGCAGATTATGAAGTCCTGGGTCGATGAAGCAAATAAAAATAAAATTAGAATTTTTGTTTCCGAAATCTCACGATGCAACCATGCACAAATAAACAGGACTCGTCCTCACCTCGTCAGCACAACGGAGGTGGCCGCCCGAACTTCCGTTGGCAGACATCGTCATAAGAGACTCGTGAATAATTCTCTCTTCTACCAAAAGGCCTACGACTGAAAAAACACAAGAACATACAGTCCTCTATAAATGGCACCAAGGTGCTCTGAATTAGCGCACAGTTCAACAGAACCAACAGGATTGTCGAAAATTAAGCCTCGCCTTGTCTCGAAAATAAGAGCATCTCGTTCTTCCAAGTCACTGGGCGAGTGTTGCATCGACGAATATACTCTTGTACATTAAATGTCGCAATATTTCTGCCTTGACTTCAAAGGAAAGTGCTAATGATGGTGATAGTCGTCGGGTCCTGACTGATGCTCACATGAAAGCTCGAAAACCTCAAAACCGAGTACAATAAGATTAGATTTGCGTTTTAAACGTAGAGGTACCGCAAAAACTCGTCAAATAGCTCAGTTTAATCACGTGCCAGAACTGCTGGTCATTATTGCTTCGTTTCAGTATATTTTGCGTTTCGTCCGCGAGGAGCTCAAAGTAGTCTCTTTTCAAAAGTACGTGCCATCTATAGTAGCTCTGCGCGATTCTCCGAGTTCGCCATTGGTTGGGCAGCAACTTCGAGCGTTTGGACACAAGGATTATGTCATCGCTCGGCGTGGACTGAGACAAGCTCATATCGAGAACGAGTGCTATAGGTCAACGTTCGGCGAAGACTCGCATACATCACATGCTTCTTGCCCAAGAAATGGCGGTCTCGAATGTTGGTTAATAGGAATTTAAAAAAAAAAGGTATACTATTCAACTCGGCTATATTTCACCTCAAAGCCCCTATTCTACGTTACAGGGGGAGACTGTCATCAATGCGTTTCTCTAGGAAGTTATTTATTAGCGTAAGGGGATTCTATGAGACGAGCACCTTGCAGAGCTGCTTTCTCGCGCGTGTGTTTTTGATGGCTTTGGGCGCAACATGTTAGATAAAAGACATATAGACGTGCTTACCTGCCGGCATCAGCTCTGCCTTTTTTATGCAGACGTCGACCGCCTTGGCCGCTATGATGACATGTTCTTGAGTGGCATTCAAACCCCAGCTTCCTGGCGAAAAAAAAAAGAAGAAAAAAGGTGGCCTTGAAAACAAAAGAAGAGCCTTCTTTGTCGATCTGATTATACGTGTATCGGGATATACCGGCAGGAGGTGCATGTACATAGATTAGTAGGAGAAGAAGATAAAGGTTACTCGTTCTACTGCCCGTCATGATGGTCTTGTGTCCTTGTTCATGATGCATGATGTCAGAAGTGGCTTTTCTTTAGCCTGGCCATGGAGGGACTTCGCCCACTTGATGGTTTGCTTCTCTCCGGAAATGTAGCGGACAACTGGCGCAAGATTAAGCAGCAGCTCCTGGAGCTCTACCTGGCCGCCACCGAGCCGGATAAGGCACGCACCGACACACAGAAGGCAGAAAGTTTCCTCCACGTCGCGGGTGCGGTGATGCCATGGAAATCTTCAACACCTTTGGACTGACAAAGAAAGAACCAGCTACCGCGTCCTGGTGAAAAAATTTGAAGAATATTACACTTTAAGATGCAATGAAACTTGCGAATGCTGCAAATTCAGGACTCGGACGCAAGCAGAAGGCCAGTCGTCCAAATAATTTTTCGAGACGTAAAGCTAAAAGCTCGAACATGTAATATTGAGCAGTTGTTCAATTCTTTGATTCGCGACCAGATTGTCTATAGCGTCACCGACACGCGAGTACGCGAAACGCTTCTTTGCGAAGATAACATTAACTTGGAAAAGACAATCACACTCTGCCAAACGACTGAAGTAGCCAAGGAAAGGCAAAACACTTGGGACAATACAGAGAAGAGCGTGGCACCTGTAGCCAAGCAGAAGGACAAGCCCGCTGCAAGACCAAGCAACATGGAAGGTGCAGCACGCACTGCAAGCCTCGAAAACGCCCCGCATACGGCAAAGCATGCCATGTGTGCCGCAAAAAGAATGACTGCTTGACTTGTTGAAAATTCAAGACCACAGTCGACAAAGTGAGTAACCAAGACGAATTTTTTTGTTTTTTTGTTTTGGGCATCGGAAATGGTTGTGCTGATTGGGTCATACCAGCGATCGTTTCTGACAGAGGAGTTAAACTGAAGGTCGAAAATGGTTCCTAAGCACACCTGCTACTGTTATCGACTTTCAAGAAACTAAGGGGAGAACGTGTGCCGAAACCGTCGAGGGCGGAACTTCGCAGCTTCAGCGGAGGTATCATGGGGCACATTGAAATTGCAGAACTGCGGCTCAAAATCAATAGAACAGACGCAAGCCTAGACTTATTTATCGTTAAGAAAGCTAGCCAGGCACTTCTCGGACTCGGACCATGTGAGTCATTTGGGTTAATAAACCATGTCCACACCGTGACAGGTGCCAGTGACCATGCAAAGAAGATCGGAGAAACCTTTCTAAGACTGCCTGATAGCCTCGGATGCTCCATGTAAGAGTATGAAATGGTTCTAAAAGACGGAGTCAAACCAGCAATTTAAGCAGCCCGTCGGGTACCACAGCATTTGAAAGCACCTCTCAAACAGGAGCTGTTTAGAATGGAGAAGGCAGGAATAATAGTCAAAATGGAGGAACCGTCAGACTGGGTCAGCCCGCTCGTCGTGGTTTGCAAGAAAGAAAACAAAATACGAGTGTGCATGGGTCCCAGATTTGTTAATGAAAGCCTGAAACTCGAGCAGTACGAAATGCCGAGAAGAGAGGACATCGAAGTGTAGCTGGCTGGCACGTGATTTTTCTCCAGGTTAGATGCCAACGCAGGTTTCCACCAGATCCCCCTGGATGAAGAAACGCCAGGCATCTGCACGTTCCGCACTCCGTTTGGGCGATACCGTTTCAAGCGTCTTCCGTTCGAAATTTCGTCCGCAGCGGAGGTTTTTCAAAAGACAATGTCACAGATCTTCGACAGCCTATACCAGGCGTTCAAGATTGATTGGAGCGTTTATTTTGTGAACCATACCTTGGTCTATTGGGCCTCATGTGACATGGGGGAGGGGAAAGGGGCGTTTAACGATGACGATGGGTTGATGTACCGTCCAGTCCCGGAGGACCGGAGGTAGGAGATGATTGATGAAAATACTAGTGTTCGGTCAGCAGGTGCTGACGTTGTCGGATGGGTCCATTCCCGCAGGGTCGTCGATCGGAGGGGCGGCGGTAGACTGTTGACTACCGCCACCCGTTCACGAGATGTCACCGGACGGGACCATACCAGTTTGCATCGACGAACTCCTCATCTGGGGTGCCACGCGTGAGGAGCACGATCCACGATTCCAAAGAGCTCTGCTAGCGGCACAAAACGGGGGCCTGATATTAGATAAAAAAAGCCTCTTCTGAATCACAAAAGTCACCTTTCTGGGCGACAGGGCTACCAAAAATGTCATACAACCTGACACCTCAACTGGTACAAAGTGTCCTAGAGATGCCTGTTCCGAGGATCAAGAAAGGAGTCCAACGGATGATGAGTGTCGTCACCTACTTCGGCATGTACTTGCCACGACTTTCGGACAAGACCGAAAAGTTACGAGAGCTTCTAAAAGACGTATCACTCTTCGAGTGAACTCAAGCTCATGAAAAGGAATGACAAGACATAAAAGCGTCTTTCACAGCAGCGCCAATGCTAGCTTTCTTTGATCAGTCCCTTGTTACAGAAGTGTCCACAAATGCCTCAAGGTACGGTTTGGGTGCAGTGTTATTCCAATAGCATGGAAACGACTGGCGTCCAGTTGCTTATGCCTCAAGAGTGCTGACCGACACTAAGACAAGGTGCTCACAGATCGAGAAAGAAGCGCTTGGAAATGTCTACGGCTGCGAAAGATCCCATGATTTCATATATGGTAGAAAAGTGATGTGGAAACGAGTCACAAGCCGGTGATATCAATCTCCAAGAAAAACCAAGGAGCCATGCCTTCAAGGCTTTAGCGCTTCTTCATCCGTATCATTAAGCACGACTGCGAGTTCCAGTTCGTCCCTGGCAAAGAACTGCTCCTGGCGGATACACTTTCTAGAGCGCCATCAGGAAGAACCGCGTTTGACCAGAAGGAAGATGACGACGTTGAAGTGCATGCAGTCTCAGTTCTGTCAATTCTGGTGAGTCAGCATACACTGAATTGTTTGGTTTCTGCAACTCGTGATGGCCAGAAGTTACACCGTGGACAAGTGCTAGAGGCACATGAGACAATTGAGGAACCTTTCGAACCTTTCGCTTCAGAACTGACCATCATGAATGGAGTTCTGTTTAAAGGCGCAAAGGTGATTATCCCCAAGTTTCTTCGCAAAGAAATGCTAGCAAGAGTGCATGACGGACGCCCTGACCTAGCCAAATGTAAGAAAAAGGCAAGAATATTGATGTTCGGACCCGGGAATGCGACGGAGATTAACGCAATGATCGGTCGCTGCGAGATATGTAAATGTTTTGCGTATCGTCAACCCAGCGAGCCTCTACTGATACGACCGACACCCAGCAAGCCATGGAACGTGGGGGAGCAGATCCTTGCCAGTATGCTGGAAAATCATACCTTGTGGTTTACGACGCATAATCCAACTTCCCAGAGGTTGAATCTCTACCGGACACGACGACAAGCACCGTGGTCAGCAAGCTTTCAAGTATATTAGCGAGACACGGAATACCTATGGAAGTAAATTGAAACAACGAGCCACAATTTGTGTCACAAGAATGTAGAGTGTTTGCTTCCAAGTATGAGTTTAAGCACGTGACCTCAAATCCAGGATTCACACAGTCCAATCGCCTTGCCGAAAAGGGAGTGAGAGTCGTAAAGCGACTTATAAAAAAAAAAAAAAAGCTATGCAAGCGAGGACTTTTTTTGGGGGTTAGCTAAATTACAGGTCCTCGCAATTGGAAAGAGGAAAGTCACCTAGTGAGCTATTGATGGGTTGTCGGATTCGTTCCAGAATACCCGATTTTTCAACTAGAATCCACGAAAGCGTCGTGAAAAACAAACAAAAGGAAGACAGGGGCTACCAGACCTGCAACCTGGAGATATTTTCCGCGTGCGACACGACGACGGTTGGACTGCGAAAGCTCAGGTCGAATACTCTGTCGCGCCAAGATCGTACAAGATCATCAATCAAGACGGGCGCAAGTCCAGAAGAAATAGACAGCATCTGCTCACAACCTCCGAAACCTTCGATGCCCCTGACCATCCAGAGGGTTATGCAGCTAATAGCCAGGTAGAGCACTGAAGTACCCACTTCACCTGCGGCAACGCAGAAGAGTGCAGAGAATACTGTAGCAGTAGCACCCGCAAACCGTGTGCCACTGAACGTCTCGCGACGCCGCGGCAGCATCGCTGCACCGGCATTCCTGTTCGCACCTCAGCGCGGTTAAGACAACCACCCCGTCATCTGGGATATGCCGAAAACTTTAAGCGGATTCCCTGAGTCCGCAAGTTTGATATTCCCGCTCTCTCGGTAAAGAAAGTGGGGTGTATCGGTATATACCGGCACGAGGTGCATGTACTTGGAGTAGTTGGAGAGGGAGATAAAGATTACTCTTTCTACTGCTCGCAATGATGGTGTTGTGTCCTCTCTCATGATACAATACGCACCTCGCAGGCACTGGGAGTGGAAGCACGGCATAATCGAGAATAAATTATTCTTGAGAGCTTTGAGACGGATGGGAATAGGAAATCACACTGGTTACATGTGGCTAAGATATTATCTTGTTCTACTAAAAATAATTGATAAAATACACATTTTTTGTCTAGTTGCTGAATTTTGATTAAGTAAGAAAACACGACATAAAAATAAATAACAAGACGTTTTTCGTTTTAATCTTGGGAGGCGTCTAAACTATTTCGTTTAAGTTTCCACGAGTAAAAGCTCACTCTTAGAACCACTTTATATAAAAAGTGTTAAAAATCCTGAAAAAAAGGACGAACGGGAGCATAAAATGATGTTATTTGCTCGTCAAAGTGCCCTAAGCATTTGTATGCATCCGCAGCGAACCCTACTCTTAGTACAGTGGTATCCTTTTGTGGCGTCGTAGCACCATTGGATGTATACAAGAATCATGGCTCCTATTTTGATACTAAAGGAAGAAAAGGATGAAAACCGAAATATGCAGGAAAGCAATAAGCGAAACGTGTATGTCCGGCGAGAAGATGCGAAATCAAATTGTAGTTCACTCACCGTCGTCCTTGCGCTTGACGTTGCTGATAAGGAAAACGAAGTCCTCTGCGTAGAGGGCTCGCCTAAAGAAGGCTGCCTTTTGTGGATTCGCTTCGTGGATCAAGTACACCGCGATGCTGTAGTAGAAAATACACGTTCGTGAGGACAGTGGGCACGAGAAGGAAGCAACAGAACCTGGTGGCTCAGTTGCTTGCTCTAACCACGAAAGAAAACATTAGGGAATTTTCGTAGACCGCGTTTCCCCCTCCGCTAAGCCCTCCACAAGAAACAAGCCCCTACTGCGGCTGCGGGCCGATGGCCTTGACCGTACAGCTCCGGGTATCGCAGCAGGTTGCGGAGAGCGTTGCGGGACAGCGATAACGATCTACGAAAACTCCCAATTGCTAGACAGCGTTCGCTTACTTTTCCGGGTGGTTCCGTATCAGGCGTCCTTCGGTTCCCACGATGATACCGAGGATGCCGTCTCTGAAAATTAAACCGATATCACAAGAACCCCTATTTCTGCCGATTCCTAAAAAGAAAAAAAAAATTGTGTAATATAGTTTTGCTGTGCACTTGAAATAAATAGCGTTACAATCCTCTACCTGCAGAGATAAAAAATCTGTCACATAGTATACTCCGGAATCAGGCGTCTGAACGACGAGTGAGCGTTCCAAGATGCGTCTTTGGAATACTGCCTAGAAGACCAGGCTGTAGTGCTGACATGTTTGCGTCACTAGCGAAGGCCAACGTTGGACACGCATTGGAAACGACTGCTGCGTCAGCGCCCGGCTTCGAGTCAAGTTAGACCCAATGTTGACGCAATAGTCATGTCCAATCTGTGACCAGCGTTGGCCTTCGCGGATGATGACATCTCTATCAGCACGACGGCTTTGTTTTTTTGGGAGGTGTCGGCCTTTGGCTCATTCGGAACGCAAAGAGGGTCATGCCTACCAAAAGGGCAACATAGAGAACGCGTAGAGAACGCGCGATGGCAAAAAAAGTAAATTGGGTTATGGGGATATTTATACAGCGTGTAGTTGGTCAGCCATTAAAGTTGCGACGAGTCACTCGCTGTAGATGAGTAATTTAGCCAGTGCAGTACAACCGCTAGCCTGGGGTCTTTAACGTGCATCACGCAGTAGTGATACACGGCGGCACGCCAATACGATGCTCATCCAGATCGAAACGGGCAGGGGTGGGGATCGAACCCAGAATCCCTGGGTTCTGCAGGGCGAGCTTTCGCTCCACGCGCGTCGAGCTGGGTGACGCGCGATGGCGAGGCAGCTAAGCTGGCGCCGTCATTGGTCGTGGTCATTGGTCGAGGTTAGGGAGAAGCAAATGCACGGTGGCGCGTTTGGGCTGCAGACAAACGCACGAGGTTCAGGAGCAGACAACCTTGCACCCGGTAGAGTCACTGAGAGCTGAGGAAGCTCATGGTGTTTTAGCGGCGAGATGTTTCGGTGGCGCCCTCGCTCGGTTACCTTTCGTGACGTCATTACCTTGTGAACAAGTTCGAGGGTGTTTGTAATGGGCATGGTGGAAGCCTGATATCATAGCGGTCTCAAAGCAACACTGCCCACACCGTCGAAATTGAAGTTCTTACATTCCTCTTATTTCCGCCGATAACAAATCCTTTGCTGACGTCATTGTCAGCATTCGGCCAATCGTGGAAGCCGACCACAGTGACGCTTTCGATCGCTCACGTCGCCAATAGTGTCCCGAACAGTTTAACGCGACAGCTTTAAGGAGCTCGTGTCACAAAAAATCCGGAGTCGGTGTCGGCGGGACGGGAAAATCCTGATTGGTCGATAGGTTCATGACGTCACAGCTACATGACTTCGCGCGGGAATTTCAAACAACCTACAACAGTCACGTGAAACGTGACATCACGCGTGGAATGAAAGTGACACGCGTGATGCGAATTAAAGGGCGCCGCATGTCTCAAATGATTTCACTTTAGAAAGTAAGTAATTTGCCTTAAAGAAAGATGTTAAAATTTCTAGGCGGGATTTGAACCCGCGGTTGCGAGCCAGACCTACACCACCTAGAATGATCAAAGCCTCCGCATCGCCTCCTCTCCCTTCATGAACCGACATCACAACGGGATGGCTCTAACTCCGCTACTCGGCCCGAGTCCGACCGTCGACGCGCTGATTGAACACGAGCTCCGGCCGAACCCTGACGCAGCACTCGTGCCCATTCTCAGGCCTCGATCGATCTGACTGTAATGTTGGTGCGAAGGCATTCTGTTTATCTAGTTGCTACTGACTAGGCCACGCAAGGCACGCTTGCACGGCGAATGAGAAGGCGATGCGAACAGGGCGCGATAACGCTATCGCGTTCCACTCTTAAAGGCGAAGCTTAAGTGTCCTTTAAGCTCTATTGCTTCGCAATCAACGATATTGCGGCATTTGGCGATAAGAATTCGAAGAGCGTTATCCCAAAGCAAAAAGCGTAAACCATAACAAACCATGCTCTCCTCTTTTTTGAGGTGTCAGTGACTATAAAGCGAATAAAAAAAAAAACAATTAGAAAGCGCAATTTCTTTTGCTTTCTCTCTGCGAACCCTCGGAACAAGAAAATCGCTCGTGGCAACGCTTAACATTTATTATCGTTAGATCAGTTGTGAGACTGAAGCGTCGCCCGCTCAAATATATAATGTTAGATGGCATTAATAAAAACACGATTGTCACTGATAACTCAATAAATGCAGGGTGTGACGAGCCCCTAGCGTCTCATTATTGCATCGTGGGTAATAAAATTACGGCATCATCATTGACATGAAAACCGCAGAACGAATCACAAAGCGTGAGTATAGTAGGCCACGCCCTACATTTTTTAATTTGTTCCTTACTTTTTTACGGAGAGGTAAATAATTTTGTGGTGGATATAGCGGTATCGTATTGATCGCAATATAATGCTTTCGCTGACGTAGATTATTTAAAAAAAATTATATCTCTTCTTGGCGGCGTTGAGCGTGTCGAACGTCGAATGACTGACTACCTCATTCATTTATAGGTGATAAATGTTTTTTTTTTCGGGTCGTAGTTGTTTTTTAAGCACTACTCATAACTTCTCACAGCGAAATCCAGAACTGACGTCCGGGAAAAAGGGCCTGTAGTTACTGAGAGCTTTGCTCTTTTTATTCTATCTTCGTCTCAATGAGACAACGAGCCATTATTGTAAAAGGTATTGAACTTTTTATAATATATTTACATGAAATACAAGACAATACAGTACAGGGCACGACAAAAGTAATGTATTTTATATGTTAGCTTTTCATTGTCCGATACTCATAGACAATTAGCCACTAGTTCGTGACACGTTGATTGGACCGTCTTAATCGATTTTGCTTAGTTGTGTTTACATGCAAAGCTATGACCGTATAGATTACTTCGGAATTTCTTTTGGCGAGTGTAGCAAAGCTGCATGATGGCTACTTTTGCGTCGACCACTTATAACCGGTCGTGAGACGAAGTCGTGATGCTTAAAGGGACACTGACAGGGTATTTATGCTCGCCGAGGTTTTTAGTTGTACGTGACATATGAGAGCTCAACTACCCAGAACAGAATTTGCGGCTCGAAATTCGGTTTCTTTCCGCCCGAAAACCGCCGATCAAGAACTGGCCGGTTCGAGTCTCGCTCACTCTCTTTTTCGCGGTCACGGGCCGTTTTCTAAGGTATCGATGCGACCACCAAATTTAATCAAAGTCGTGGGTCACTGAAGGCACACACTCAATATTAAAAATAAAAAAAAATATGAAACCCATTTTTTGTGGCTTCTAAAGAGCTGTAATTACGTTGATTGAAAAAAAAAAGTTCCACAGACAACCGGAAGCATTCTGTGCGTTCGTCGTTTCGCGTATCGTGGGACTCGCGGGGACGGCGATGGCAGCGGACGACGGGCATGGGACCTCTATTTCAGAACTGTCGTTCGCGGTACCGGCGAATTCTGTCTACCGTTAAAAGAGAAATTTGGGACTGATCAAAAGAATTGGTATTCATCCCGTACGACACGCCCGGCCACCAAGCCGATTTGCACGAAGACGTCGCCGAGCCGTCGCTCCCTTCTCGTGGCTGAAGACAACGCTCGCGCGAACGTCAAGCACGACGTGTCTACTTCGAGTTGAATATGCACGCGTACGATTTCTTTACTAGGTGCGAATGTCCCCAAAGCGTGGTGCTGCCCGACTTCGACTCGGGAGTGCTTTTGCTAGAGAAAAATCGACAGCAAACTTTCCTACTGTTTATCGGCTGAATTATTACTAAGGAAAGAGATCCACCAGAAACGAGATGCCCCAGTAGCTCAGTGGGAAAGACGTCCGCTTCACACGCGATAGGACCGAGTTCGATCCCCCGTGAATTTTTTTTTTTTTTCAAACATTTTTTGATGTTTACATATCTTTTTCTTTTTTTTACAATCATCACTGAAGAAACGAACAAAAAAAATAACAAACAAATGTTGTGGACGATACTTCGCTGAATTGAACGGTATGGGATTTCCGTTTTGACACCTGCGAACTATATGTAATCACTTTCCACAAAATGCAAGGAGCATATAAATCAGGTAGCGTCCGCTTTCCGAGGTGCCCGTAAATGTTCTACAGGAATTGCAGCCAGCCATTGGTCCCGATCCCGTTGATCTTTCGGAAACTCTGTCGCACAATGCCACTTTTTTTCGGATGCAGGACATGTGAGCCAGCTCTTCACGCAACATCTTGGGTTTATTCTTTTCGGACCCGATCATGGAAATTCACCACGGGCACTCACTACTCATTTCGAACTCCTCAATGTACAAAACAACTCATCTTGGAGTACAGAACAACGAACGGAACAAACATAACTGCAAAAGAATCGCACGGCAAGCAGTTCCCGCACGCCGCATCGCACGCCGCATGTCGCGTCGTCTGCTACCGGAGAGGAGAAAAAACAAAAAACAAAAATAAAACCGCATGGTCGGGTGTAGCCACGTGACTTCCGCCAGTCACTCTCTTCTCTCCACTTCTCCGACCTCCGTCGGGTTTCGGTTTCGGTTTCGAGCAGTTGCGTCTTTTGGCTTTATTAAAGAAATACGCTACTCTGTTGCAAAATATTAATTGGGTAGTCCTCCGACACCATAATAAAGCGCCTGGCAAAAAATAAATTTTTTTTTGGGGGGGTGTCAGTGTCCCTTTAATTACCTTTCCTCAGCGAACGCGTCGCTTGTCCAGTTGTTGACCACAGCCCGCGTGTTTTCAATGTCCCAGAGGAGTCGCTGCATGAGTAGAGGATCGCCTGCGATAGCAAATAACCGGCAACTTTTTAAAAAGAAAAGTTATTGCCTAATTTTGTCAGAACGCTTGCACGGAAATATGAAAAATACGTACAAAAACATTAAGACAGCAAGTTAGTCATTAGAAAATTGTTTTACTAGCTGTAAATTGCTGAACATAACTTGTTCTAGCATAAGGTAAAACGAGCTGGTGGTTTAAACCCTTCATGCCAAAAGTAATTTATGAACACAAGGTCTTCTTTTCTTAGTACTCACTTTCATTTATCAAGAACGATATACAAAATTTAAAGGCGAATGACTACATTTTAGTTATAATAACAATGCCCTTTTAATATTGGTACAAAAACACATAATCACTTAATAGCAACCTCGCTGTTCTATAACACCCTCGGTGCAGCGGATACTGACGCGTTTAAGTCTCATTTTCTAGTGGGTTCTTGCGGACTAATTTGTAATCAAATTGTTTGTGCATCACTACCAAAGCGTTAGTTATCCGCGAGAACAAAAAATAAACAAATATATAAACGAATAAATACATACGCAAATGAAACGTTTCAATTACAAATTACAACAGGACATGCAGTATTACCACAATATGTAAAAAAATGCATGATCGAGAATGAAAATTTACGCTTTGAGGCACCCTAAATAAGACGAAACTCCCTTGGCGGCGCTTCAACGCGCTTACTTTACTCGCTAGCACAAAAGAGAGTTCATGACAACATCAGCATAATCTCCTGGCGATAATCAAAATTCATTTTAGTGGGTGTTACTTAATCGAACTGTGTCGTTTTTACGACAGAGCCCTTGGGACGACTTCGCGTTCCCAATAAACAAGCAACACAGTTAAAAAAAATCAAGAAAACACACACATAAAAAGTGAAATCCGTTTACAACTCCCTGTAACGCCGGATTGGAGCGCAGCTCTTGAGGAGGAGGAGGGAAGGGTACTGAGGGCCACGTGTTCTCGGGGGGGGGGAGGGGGTGTCACGTGACGTCGGGGTGGGGGTCACGTGACATAGGGGAAAGAGTCACGTGCCCCCTCCGAGGTCACGTGATCTTGGGAGGGGTTCGTGGCCTGGGGGTGTCAAGTGACCCAGGGGGAGGGGTCACGTGACTCCCCAGGTCACGTCACCCTCCCCCCGGTTACGTGACCGAAATTTCCCCGCTAGATTTAGCGGGGAAATTTTTCCGCTAGATCTAGCGGGAAAATTTTTTCCGCTAGGTTTAGCGGTGAAATTTTTCCGCTAGATTTAGCGGGGAAATTTTTCCGCTAGATTTAGCGGGGAAAATTTTCCGCTAGATTTAGCGGGGAAATTTACCCATAATGCACAGCGCGGTTACGCCGACGGCGACGCCGCTCAAGCCGGGAACGGGCGCCTAAGAGCTGCGCTCTAAAACAATATTTATATATATATATATATATATATATATATAAAAAACACCAGAAAGTCGCATCTGACTCACACTGACGATGGTCTGCCCGGTACGCTTCGAGGACTTGGCTTAGGTTCCCCGTGGGTCCCTTGGGGCGCGCCACGTTTTTGCAGTAGCGCCTGCATTTCAATGGTTTCCATGACATGCCATAAAATAGATGCCGGTTTTGCAATCATATCCTTAGTTTATAGCATTTAATGACAAGCATCTCATTTTTGACTCTCAAAAGTCTTTCCCCCAACCCCACTCCACTCCCTTCCCCTTCCTTTCTTGAAATATTTTCCACAAAATATTTGCTTCCCAAAAATACTATAGCTTGATGCATTTGAAGTTCTTAAAGCGCCTACAATGAATAAGACATTTCGAATAATTACAGTTACGCACGAAGATTCGTATTGATTGTCTCATAATAATATTCTTGATTATCACCTCTCTCAGTAGCTGTATGAGAGCTAGTATTGTCACGATCAGATAGAAAGTTACCTTACCACGGAGCCAAGAGGACACCATCTCCTTTCTCTGTTTCTGGCTTGAAACCTGCAAGAAGGTAACGGCCCGCTTAGCATCTTTCGAAACCTAACCGCCGAATTCAAAACCTGATCCGCCGTCGCGATTGGCCAGCGCCGGCCCTCGCGCCTTCCTCGAGGAAGGGGAGGGGCCCTTCAGTTTGAGTGTAGTTTGAGGGAGGTTTCTGAATTCGGTGGTGAGGCATTTCTTTTAAGGTTGCACTTCTATAAAATCAGAAACGCCCATGTTCTTCGGCAACAAATAAGTTATGTTGCAGCCGAATATCATTTGACAGTCAAAACCACGAAAATCATATTTCATGGTTTAAGGAGCGACCTTAGGTTACTTCTGAAGCGAAATCGTCTGGAACTTAAACATCACGCGGGGCGTGTTTTAGCAAAATAAATAAATAAATAAACCTTCTATATGACTTTATCTTGCTGCAGATGAAACAACAGTTGCAGTGTCGTTTGAAGAAAAAAACGTGGTTTAATACCTCAGCGTGGTTGCGTTAGGTTTTAGTATTTACTATCTGTTTTAAAAGTATTTAAAAGTAAAATAAATTATATTTATTTTCATTGCATAGAAGAAATATAAAGTCAAGGCACTTTTTTATATGTGATTTTGTAGTCTCATGACTCAATGAGTGACGTGTTCTAGAAACGACAGAGGAATTGAAACAAAAAGTCAACATACTGTATGAATAAAACAAGCACAAGAATACCATAAAAAAAGTTCGCATTGTTCACGATTATGTTTCTCAAGCTGTGAAACTCACCGTCTTCAGCACGCATCCCTTCCACACGCACGTACAACTTTCTCCTTTCTGGGAACGCCAGTCCAACGCTGCGGAGTTGAAGTGAGGACAAAAAAAGTGGTAGAATTATCCTACCTATGCATACGATTCAGCTCTCATGTAGCCTTGTGCAACCTCAGGCTTTCTCTACCGTGCACGACAACTTGTCTTGTCTATAGTAAGTTACTGCTCAAGAAGGTAGGGCGAGAGAAAGGAAGGTTGGGAAGGAGGAAGCAGACGGAACGCTGGAGAGAGAAAACCTCCTCTTTTCTCCAGCGTTCCGCCTGCTTCATCCTCCTCGGCTTTCATTTCCCTCGCCCCATCGTCTTGAGTTGCAACGGACTATAGCACCGAACAGAAGGTGGAAACAGATGGCTTTGTCTCCACGATCACTCACGCTTAGAGCGCAATCGCTTAAAGGGGCCCTGCAATGACATTTTACTAATTTTTAAATTGCACCGAACCTGAGCGCACTCACTGAACGTAGTAACTTAGTGAAACTTTTCTTTTCTCGAAATTCCCTTTATTTTAGAAGTTATAGGCGAATGAAAATTACAGAAACAAGCAAAAAATAACCTCCCCATGACGTCCTTGGTTGCTTGAGAGTGACCGTGAACTAGAGGAGAAGTAGTGGGCTCATCGAGCGCTTACGGCTGCCGCACTCCGAGTCGACGGCGCGAGAGGGCGCCACTAAAGTATGTTCTCGATATGCTGTATGCACCGGGCAGCCAGAGCGGCTCTCATTGCATTTGCTGCGCGATTAAAGGCTAATTCGGCATGACACTTCATTGGCCACAAAGGACAGCAAACACGGGGTAAAGATCAGTTCAGAATGGGAGCTACTTTGCGCTGCCACACCGCGAAACGGCCAAAACGCAAGACAAAGCTTCTCGCCGAAGGCCTTCGGAACGCTCGGAGCCGGTCGGATGCTCCTGCCCAAACGACCGCAGAGCCGCCGCGAACATCCGGGACCTTCCCGTGTCGGCGCCTGATCCCACTACTCTTTTCTAGTATGCGCCGCTTTTTCCACCGCTTGGTGGCGGGTATGTTGACGGGTCATTTCTTGTTTCCGTACTTTATGAACTGCATTCGTTTCTTTTTTGATGAAAAATACTGAACAAAAACTACTTTTATAAATAAGTGAAACGGTTCGCGCCACTTATATTTTGTATTTCGACTAAAAAGAAGCTTTTAGCGGCTCTGACCAGTAGTAAGCCCAGGACCAAAGACGTCAGATTTTGCGCGCTTTCGGTACCGTGGGTCGCCCTCGTCGGTGGAGGAGGTTTCCGCGTCGTCCGGTTAAAATATGACGCATTGATATTTAGTTACTCTCCCCGTGCCTGCTGGCTTGCCCGAACCACAAGAGACGTGGAAACCGCAAAAAAGGTGGACGCTTAAAAATGATTGCAGAGCCCCTTTAAGCAGCGCTCGCTCCCCAGCCTACCATATCACTGGACAAATGGACGTACCTCCTAAAGCAAACAAACTACTCCCAATCGTAGAAGACCTCCCTTCCCCCTCTGTCTGAGTCGCGCGAAAAAGAAAACCACAACAACAAAAGCAAGAACAAAAACATTCAATTTTAGGACTTACCCGAACTCCGACTCGTTCATGTGGGTATAGAAATATACCATGTTCTGTGGGACTAGATGTTTCTGCAAAAGTAAACAACACGGTCTAGTGGCATTCCTCCGCTTAATCGAATATCCTATTGCAGAATTTTGTTTTCTTCTGGTGGTATCAGTTTACCTCATCCGGCATCCTTATCAGGCTCCTCAGGGTTTCTTTTCCTGAGCAGCCTTCGATCATTAGCTCCCTAATCTGAATAAGTAAATAAACAAAGCAAGAACAAATTGCTTAGCATGTATGTTTGATTAATCTGCAATAATTCTGAATTCGTATCACACACCCAAGAGAAGAAAAAACTCTTTAATATGCTTGATGAAGTTGCAATGAAGTTTACGGATTATTGGGAGATTAGTACAAAACAGTAATGCGGTGAAATCTTGTATAAAAAAACAACAACACAATAATGCGCCGAGCAAAAAAAAAGAAAAAAAAAAAGAAATGACCACACGATGTGTGTTGCGTTTGACGGTGGCAGCTCTTGCGTGTTTCTTGGAAGAATGCTATTGGGACTGCAAACGATATACAGTTACCTATTTGGTTGCCAAGATACCACAGACGAGAACAGTTTAGAACTACATGTTTCATACCATCCTTTTTTCGTACGGAAAGTCTAACAAATCACAATACAAAACGTATCTTTATCTGACTTCTAGCCCTGTTTCCCCCACACCCTAAAAAATTACGTGAGTTTACTTTCCTGCGGAACATAAAAACAGCCAACCAAAGCGAACATTTAGAGCATGATCCCAGTGAGTCAGAAGATCAAAAATTCAATTAGCCAAAAAAAGAAAAAAAAGAAAAGAAATTGATATGTGTTAGGAAAATGAGTATGACGTTTCGCTTGAATTTTTGCAGATATTATCGCAATTTTATATCTAATTGCCTTCCAAGCTTTCTCAATTGCTGAAATTCTTTTAGTGTTCATCGGGACTGGATGCTTTTGTGTACTGCAAACATGTGAATTCTCGTCGACATTTCTTTAGAGTTTACCGTTACATCCCGAAGGATAGCCCATCTAAAACCGTGAGAAAATCGTGTGAAAATAAGTTGTGGGATAACTTTTGGTGTGCAATCAAGAAAATTTTAAAAAATGATCGTCTAAGATTATGTGTCTCTGTCCAACATTTTATTGCGGTGAGGAGCATTAAAACAAATATGACTGTACTTCCCAGTCACTAATGTTCGCCTCTAATCCCGCCATAGCTAACTTGACGAATTTATCCGAAGGTCATCATTAATCTGAACACTACGGTTATTAAGACTGGGCTATGTTTCGGTGTTTAGAGAAATAGCAAATCAAGTCAAATATAGAGGTGGGTTACCTTTCGGGGGTCGGGCATCTGTCGTGATTTTACCGTAAATACGGTGCGTTATAAAAAAGCGTAACACACGGGAAAACTGTGGCTGTATGTTGTGGTGGCAGTGCTGTATTTGATGCATATTAGTTGGAGACAGTCAGACCGATTCGGTCAGCCGTGTGAGGCCGAGCAAAAAAAAAAAATACCCACTTTTAATTAGGTGTCTTCAGTTCATTGTCACTGTAGTTCCTCTCGTTCACATTCTCAAAATAGGTTGTGTAGTACTTACGCCCATTGCCCCATACAAATAGCAAATCAAGCAAAAAATAGGGATGGGTTACCTTTCCAAGGGTCAGGATTTTATGGTATGTATGGAGCCTTATAAAGCATTTCGATGTTCAGTTTATTTCGACGTTCAGTACATTTCGACATTTCAGTTCATTGACGTCAAACGGACGATACCAACTTTTACGAGTGGCTTGATAGCTATGCGATATAACTTACTACATAACTAATGTATGCATAGAAAACTACAAGAACACTTAAGGTTTGCAGCAGGGCCAACAATACCTTGAGCGTTTTCCTCTAGTCTTTAATACGCACATTAGCCATTTTAATCAGTTGTAGCACTCGACTATCAAGCTGCCAGTCAAATTTGGTATCGTCTGTTCGGCGTTAGTGAACTGAACGCCGAATTTTGGTTTTTGGGGCGTTATACATGGGACAAGAGGTGTAAGTATTTCTAAGAGTGTAGCACATCGCTGCGTCGACGAAGGAACGTGGAAGACGAGAGACGCACATTTTCCTTTTTTGGATTCTCAATCTCCACGTCGAGAAAATCTATGTCCAGTGGCTCCTCGAGGGACCCAAGCTGAAATATAAAAAATAAAATAGAAATAGAGTCAAGGATGTGAGGGGTTGCCAAGAATGTACTGAACGAATCACAAACCTGTAGCTTGATGTCTGGGTGGTACATGACGTATCCATTGCGGTTGATCATAAATGAGTATCCCGATGGGCCGATCTGAAACAATCATATTCGTAGGATGCTAGCTGTGGGGGCACTTCTAGATAAAGCCGAAGACATGTCTCGGGCCATTTATGTTATCGCAATGAATGTATGTTTCTCAGCTATGTTTGTGATGAACGTATGTTTTTCAGCTTTTTGGTTCAAATAGAAAACGTCTTCTGGATCCAGGGGCCTGTCTTAGATGTGGGGTTAGTGAATAACTTTTTATGTGTTTTGGGTTTATACAAGAGCAAGCAGTCAATGTTCTGATCCTTGGAATCATATTGACTCTTTAAGCGAAATTATCTCTACACAGAAGGCGTGTACATCTTAAGAAAAAGTTTAACCGCTCTTTGACAAAGCGGGAAAACCGAAATGATGTCGCCAAATACATTTTCACACGTTATTTTCGCGATTATTTTTTTTTCAGAATGACGCATTGCATTTCTGATTATAAGTTTGGTGACTGAACCATTAAACAAAACATCAAATACACTTAGCATAGCTAAGGAATTGTTCGGCTGTCAATAAACTCACTAAATATGCGAACATGGGTATTCACATTTCAGTTGTTTCATTCACGCTACAACATTCCTTTTTATAAAACTATTACTGATAAGTGAATTACGTTATATTTTCTCAGCGTCTTCGTAATAATAAACAGCACGCATACGTGAGAGCTTCCAGCCTTGATGGTAAATAGTTGTTGTAGGTAATGGCTAGACAATTTTCATAGCCATAGCTGTCCCAGCCCATAGATAATGGGATTGCGTACCTTGTACGTGGGTTCGTGATCTTTGAGCTCTTCGAGGGACACATCCACTCCCATGACCCCCATGATTGCCTGGTCTTTCTGCAATCACGAAGCAGAAAAGGCCATGAAGAAAATATGCGAAACTTCATTGCAATTAAAACTATGAAAACATATCAGCTACGCTTCCTTCCTTAATTTTTGGAATCGCACAGCCCTTAAAGTGAACCAACAGATCCTTTCCGAGTGTGGTTCATTTAAATTAGAGTGAATGGCTCGTGTAAAATATATTTTGAATATTTAAATTTTATATTTTGTAATGAAATTCAGAATTACTAGAAAAAAAATTTAAACTTCCATAAAGTTCGTGAGATAAACTTGATAGCAAGTAGGGCTTTCTCTAAATGAAAAACAAGTAAGAAAAACACGTTTTTATTTTTCGAGTGTTCGGTGTCGTAAAATTTGTTCTATAGAAAATGCACTGGAAGTTGGCTGGTGCTATATTCCTTACCCGTCGAGAAACGAACAGGACATAAGGAGACGATTTACTGTGCCCTGAGTTTTGTTGTAAACAGGAAGAGTAGCCGTTGTCAACAGGCCGATTCCCTAAAACCAATTGGGCAGATATATCTTAGTGGGAAACGATATCAAAGATATAACGTTTGATGTAGGGACGGGCCACTCACCCCTGAATCTTGGTAGAAATTGGTCCAGGCAAATTGTTTCTCTCCAGAAAGCACCATAGGTCGGCTGAGCACCTTGAGGTACTCCTTGAAAAAAAAGAAAAAAAAGAAACCGGAAGAAATTGTCAAAAAGAATGATATTGGTCGTTGAAAAAAAAAACAAAAAAAAACAGCAATAATATGTAATTATAGCAAGTGCTCGCTTATAGTTGCTTTTCTTCGTAATCAATAGATAAAACATTTATATGTTACCTATTCTATATACGCTCATAAAGCCAGGTATTGCTCTCAGAGCAACAATCCTGTAAGTATTTCTTTAAGAAAATTTTGAAAAGTATGGAGATTTTTTAGGAGCAAGAACAATTTAAGGAGTATATATAAATATATCTTCTAAAATCGGTCATTTAGAAACATTACTTGAAATATATTAGGCCGATTTTTGGGCAACCCTTTATATCTGCATCACTCATTTTTTCCAATATAGAGGTAGTTTCGCGAAGGCTTTCAAATATCTCTAAAATAGGCTTGTTGAGGAAAGAAAGAGGCTCTTTTCAGGAACAACCTGCCAGCCACGACGGACGTTAGGGATTGCAAAAACAAAATACTCATTAGCATAGAATTGAACTAGAATTTACTTATTTTGGTACCCGAGAAGAACGCTTCGCAAATTTCCTCTTTCTGTAAAACTTCTTGCATACAAATCACTCCTTAGACCTGTCTTAGAATTCGCGTCTGCAGTGTGAAGCCCATGGCAGACCTCTCTGGTCAATGGAGTCGAAGATGTCCAATCCCTAGGGGTGCTTGTCCTTTTTTCAGATTTCCGACGGACCGCATCTGTCACGGGACTTAAAACGAAAGCCAGTATAAATGTTCTGGCAAACAGAAGAGTGTGCCAATGGGTCCAGTTGTTCTTTCAGATTTTCAAAAAACGTCATAAAAATTGATAGATCGAAAAATTTAAAACCAAGAGGCTTCTTCTCCGAACGTTTGCATCACTCAAAAACCGTAGCTCCCATTAATGCCCTAATAAATATTTATGAACAATCTTTTTTTGCGCATACAATTGATTTATGAAACAGTCTTTCCGGTGATGACGTTGGCATTTATTCATTCTCTTCTTTTGAGAAAGCTGTAGAGATAATTTTTCAGTGCTAAGAAAGTTTTTGTTGTTTGTTGTTTTGTTCATTTTATTTGTGTGCGATTCAGATTTCAGTGGGCCAATTGGCAATGTAACCCACTCCTGCCTTGGCCCTAAACTGGGCTGGCAGCATTGACAAAGATATAAAAAAAATAACTGTTAATTAACGAAAATAAACATAAAGTTCCAAAAAGAAAATTGCTAAGCTTCACGGGAAACCACTAAATCAACACATTTTGGAAAGATATAACGCAAAAACATCATTTTACGGTGCTAAAAAAAGAACAAAACAAAAAACGCTTAAGTTGGATGCGTTTTTAGGTTTCGGTTTCCTCTCGGAGCGCCAGGAGTCCTGCTCCCCGGTGCCCGAGGTGCGAAGTCATTACCTTGCCTCCCTTGTAGAACGGAGGGAAATATGGCGTACGTGCGTTGCGCCTCTCGGCCACCGGGGAGCAGGACCGCTGCTGCGAAGATGCGCTCCCATAGGAAACCGAAACCTAGGAACCTGTCCAAATTGAGAGTATTTTGGTATGCCATAAAAGGCTGCCTCAGCCTTATCTCTCTTTAATTTTAGTTGATTTAGTGGTGATGCTTTGCAGGTTTATATTGAAACCATATGTTTATTTTCACCAATTAAAAAGTTAATGAGCAGATTTTAGCTTATTATCTAGCTAATTAGTATGCTTTTTACAATTTTTGACACCCACCTTGACTGGCAGTCTGTTCCCAGAAAGAGTTTCTTCTTTTTCTCAACCACCATATTTTTTAGAGATTTTGAAAGCCTTCGCTGAGACACCAGAACACGAAAAGACCGATGCGGATATAAATCATCAATGTAGAGATGTTCGGCATATACATTTAATGTACACATGTTTACTCGACAAATTTAATGTACACATGTTTACTGTATAAATTTATGTACAAATGTTTATTTTATCTATACAACGAGTTAGTCTACACATGTTCACGTTGCGCTGAGGAATTTTCACTCTTTACTGTAGAGTTACTGAAAGAAATCAGTCGCTACGTTTTTAAGAATTAACTCGCTTTTCTTGTTGGCGGGTTATGCCTTAGGAAGGTAAAGCTGGTAAAGCATTAAGAAGGTAAATAAGGGAGCCAAGTAAGTTGCTTAAAAACTACCGCGAAAAAGATATAATAACGTCATATTGGAATTATATCACCACATCTAATAAATATAGTAATACAGAAAAATACACGACTTTTTATATAATTATTACTAATTGCAATGCGCACGACATTGGAGCCCGTCAGATGGCTCTTTTCAATGTATAACATGGAATCATCTCATTTGTGGCAGAGGTATGTTCAGTTGACTTGTACTGACCTGCACTTTGTACCTACTGGCTCCAAACGATGTAATAGCCGTGAAGTATCCTGGAAAAAGCAAGGCCCCACTGTGACGACCAACGCTTAATGCATGTTCAAATGGGATACCTCTGTTATTGCAAGCGAGAGCCTTGAGGGTAGCGTACGGTATCGGGTGCGGTCCAACAACGTAAGTGAAGATGCGAATCTGAAATAGAAGCGAGAGGGCCTCAGTTTCATCTCAACAGAACCAGTTTCATACCTATCCGGGCTGAGCAACAGCTTTTCGTTTGTGAACGCAAAAGAAAGGCTCAGAATTTTTTTCTTTCTCACTCGTTGTGCTGCTAACCAAACGCCAAAACGAAGCTGTGTGCCATAAAGAGTCAGGAATTATTTATAATAGAGACCTTTCAAAAGTGCGCGATATCCAGAAGCTGCAGCACCAATTACCTGAGCCCGTCGTTGTTTGATCACGTACCCCGAGAATGTATTGAACACGAGGTCCGTGTCATCGTTCGGCGTGAGCCCTGCTGGGCTCGTGTGAAAAACGAGTGCTGCCCTAAGAGTTCGGCGAAGGCCCGGATCCAATCGCACACACCTCGTGTCCAAGAAATGGCGATCACCAATGTTGCTTGATCAGATTTTGACAAGGGTCTGTTACGATGACTTAATTCCTTCTTGTCGCCCTCTTTTAAGACTAAGATGTCTGGAGCGTGTCCCAGACTGGTTCGCTTAGCGTCGTGTCTTGCCCGTACATAGAAAGTGTCCCCGAAACGGCGAAAAAAGGACGTCACAGAAGCCGGCACGTGACGTTGACGAAGTTCGCGATCCTGGCGGTTGGTGGTAGAAGACCCGGTAAAAAGTTCGAAAGAACGCAATGTCGCTGTCGTTGAGGGGTCCCAACTCCTAACTGCTGAAGCTTCCGTGGACTGTAAAGCTAGAGAGCAAACTGTAGGAGAACAGGCGTCTGCTACATTTATCACCACTGCTGTGACACGCCATGTTCGCGGCCGGTGACAGCATGACACTTTTATTACGTCATCGGGCGGAAACCGATGCAGAACCACTTTTTGGGACGCGGTCAACAGATCCAGTCGAAGACGCGTTCCAGGCACAGTATAGAGGCTAAACGGACTGAGTGTGAGAGAGCTTAAAGCAGGTCGGGGAAACCTTAAGTCCTGTGTTGAGTTTCTTCACCAATGGGGTTGGGTCTTCCGTGCCTCCGTCCGTGAAGACCATGATCATCTGGATGCATTCCGCGCCGGCATATGTCGTCCTATTTTCTTGGAACTGGAATCAAAGCAAACGCAGATGTGGTGCCAATAGGCGGCCGTACTTATGGTTTTATGTGCAGAAGGCAATGGGGACATAATTTAAAGACCGTTCTGCCTATCGGTATACGCCTCGCAAGTGTGCTCATTTTCGTCTTCTGCGCATGAGAAAGGAAGTAGTGGTGACCTCAGAACACCGAGCTCTGATTGGCTGATCGCAACCCCCTATCTCAGCGTCGTCTGCTCCTTTGAAACGTCGTCTGCTCGCAACATCGTCTGCGTCTGTCTTACCTGTCCTGCGACTTTCGGAAGTGCAGGTCTTTACGAGCGAGTTCGACTTCGCCTTTCAGTGAGGGCAGACGAAATAACTCGAGCGGTACGTTGTTTTTGTCTAACAACTAGCAGACGCGTATCAAGGAGGGAAGTAAAAGGACTCACTGGCGAGGTGTCCCGAGGCGCCGAGGTTTGTTTGCTAAGAACCGAGAGGTGAGCTCATTAGTGTCCGCAAGTTCCCTCCCAAATGCTTATTCCCTCCTTTCGTGTGCGGCGAGACCCCTCATTCTTTAACGGCGTCGGTGGGTTGGCGCAGTTAACGTCGTCTGCTTTACGTCTGCTAGTCAAAGCGATGGCTGCTTTACCTTTCCTACGTCTGTCGGAGATTCACCGCTTTTTCACCAGCGAGAGTCACCGTTGCCTCGGGAAAAAAGGAGATAACAAGAGGAAGAAACTGACCTCTTAATCTAAAATTGAGGTCAGCGATCAAAGTATAATACGGGAAGAGTTCACAAGGGTCGCGCGGGCATCTTCCATTCAACACGCCAGCCGGTCGTGGGCAGACGGTCGCCGAGTCGCGGAGTGCCTGCTATGTCTAACTGCGGAACTCGCTTGGTCGCGTTCTGTGGAATCGTGGCCGTTGGAGCTTTTCCCGGGTGTTTGTGGATCCAGCGTTCTTGTTCGTCGTAGTCTGTTTCAAGTACTTTTTTACTTTGTTCTTGCTGCTTGAAGTCGGGACTCGTGAGAAGCGCACGTAGAAAAATAAAGGTCCGTGGGTCGTCGGTCATGCTGATTTGGTCGTAAGAAGTGCGTAAGACAGCTTTGGAGCTGTCGTAGGATTTCGGCGTAACCTGCGCAAAACTTACGAAAATTTCGTTTCGTGAATACGAATTTGTTCTTAAGTTTTGTCTTACGCACATTTTTGGCGTAAGATTGTTTCGTGAATCTGGCCTCTGCACTTCCGAAAGTCGCAGGAAAGGTGAGACAGACGCAGACGACGTTGCGAGCAGATGACGTTGCAAAGGAGCAGACGACGCTCAGATAGGGGGTCGCGATCAGCCAATCAGGGCTCGGCGTTCTGACGTCACCGCTACCCCCTGCGCAAAAAGCAGACGAACTTGCCCTCCGCATAGGAACACACTACAGTAAAGATGGATCCATCAAAAAGCTACATGTAGTGTTTGGACGTCATATCTCGTGACTATTTGGCAAGTTATATCGGCAAACGTTTCGAGCTTTAATTGAGATAGATGTTACGATGCCGAGCTATCATAGCCCCGTAATATGTTTAAATAAACGGTAATACGAGATCATGTTATCTAACATGATCTCGAGATCATTATAACATTTCATCATGCCCTATTACAAACGATGGTGCCGGAACATGTTTAGAAGAAAAAAGAACGTATTATGACGTCATATTATCATAACATGATCTTGTATTACTTATTGTTCGTATTGGTTTTCTTGATGACATTAATAAATGCCTACTACACATTCAAAGTTAAAAAATTCAAAGCTTCAAAGTCACGAACAATCTACACAGGTCAACACTATTAGCGCGAATACAGCATAGGAGCGTTTTTTTTTTTTAAATTTTACTACAAAAAATTATTGTCAGGCGTGATATTTTACTTCTTAGGTTATTGTCCCTATTGAGCCATTTGCACCACATCAGTAGTTTGATGACAGTCCTTCGATTCGAATAGGAGCACAAAAAAAATTACAGGGAGATCCATTGGTCGATTCTTAAGAAATGCGTTAACATGACCCTTGGAAACGTTGCACACGTACCCTTTGGGAAACGCTAACGCTGACCCCTTCTCTTCTTTCTTTTGGATTTCTCGTTTGCTTCCTTTATTTTTCTGCTGCCTGCTTTCGGCCTCGTTAAGGGGTCAATGTTAGCGTTTCCCAAAGGGGGGCGTGTGTGGCGTTTTCCAAGGGTCATGCTCAGAATCCATCAATGGATCATCCTCTAATTCTTTCACCGATTTTTCGTAGTCTCTCCCTGTCAGTGTACGTCGACACCCTTGGATACGGTCATCCATATTACTCGTGGAAAGAACCACATCCATACCACTCGTGGAAGGAACCGCATTCATATCGCTCGTGGAGGATACTACGTCCGTCGTTTTAACTACACACATATCACAGCCCACGCACCGCTACTTCGGGAACCCAGAGCGAAGGAAAACCGGCGACGGAAGAGCGGCAACTGTGCAGGCGTGCACAGTGGCGTCACAAGGGCGAAGCGGGTGGGGGGGGGGGTGGGGGGGGGGGTAGGGGGGGGGGGGAGGTCGCGGCGCGGCACAGAGCGGGGGAGGGAGGAGGGGGGTCGCGGCGAGCTACCGCCCTGGGTGCTGCTAACCCTAATGACGCCACTGCGCCCGCATTCCACTGCGCCACGGCGCAGCACCTGATAACAAAGCCGTAGTGCTCAATGACATAACGTCATCAGAGAGGACCAACGCGGCTCCCAGATCGGACACTACGATTACGTCAACGTTCGGCTCAAAAGTTGAAACTTGACTCGAAGCCGAGCGCTGGCACGGCATTCGTTTTCATTCTATGTCCAGCGTTGGCCTTCTCTGATGACGCGATCTCAATCAACACTAGGGGTTTGTTATGCAGGGAGTGTTGCGCGGCGCCTCCTCCTCTCTGGCTCCGCGGAAGCTGTGCGCGTGAGTGTGACTTTAACAAAAACCGGAAGGCTCGTTTTGACGAAAGCTCGGCAGTGTCTTTCCGTTTGTCAGCTCCGGGGACAGAGAGAGAGAGAGAGAAGAAGGGGTTGAGGTTGACGCGGGCTGAAGTCAGCGCTTCGGACCAATGGAAGCGTCGTACGCGTCGCTCTCTCCCTTACCTTCTTCTTCTGTCCCTGTAGCTGGCAAACGAAAGACACCGCCGGGATTTCGTCATAACGAGCGTTCTAATGCTAACTCGTCAAAGAAACTGGCGATTGCATGTTTGGATTAACAGTACCGCGCAATGTACAGGTCAGTCCCTTTCACTGCTCAATAAAAGTATGTTTAACTTAATTATTGTTCTAATGACTGCAATATTTTATAAACAAGGGGAAAACATACGTCTGCCATGTTTTGGAAAGCGAAGTCCAGTGCGTGCGACAAACTTGCGGTGCCGCCGTCGGTAATGCGGTCAATGCTCTTGGACAGTATCTGCAAAAACAACAGCAGGTTCCAAACGAAAGCTTGGATGGTGGCACGTCATCGCCTCGTCAATTAGTGCCAACTTCTATGTCACTTGACACACAAAATACAAGAAACAACAACACAAACAAGTACAGTAATTTAGTCGGAAAGTACCGAACACTGCTGCGACACAGTAAAGGTACAGGCACACGCATAGGTGTGTGCCTGTATTGGTGTATTTGTCAAGTCTGCTTTCGCTTGTTCTTCCGTGTGTGCGCGATGTATCGGCAAACAATTAGGCGAGACAATACAGCTAACCGAAGGCTGTTTTTATGGGGCTTTAAATTGTATCAGCAATCATTTCCGAATCGTAGCTCGGTGCGATGATGACAAACTGTATAGGAGGTAAGTTGTTTCGTTTTTCTTCTTTTTAATAAGTAAAGTTTAACTGCGTTTGTTATGATGGAAGCTTCGGAGAAGTGAATACTACCTCTGGTGCGTATCTTAGTTGAGTTTTATTCTTTGGGTTGTTTTGTTACTCGCCTCGGTGCTTTGTGCGTCTCGAGTTTATCTGCACGTTTTATTTTCCTTCACTTCTGCCACATTAAAATAGTGCTGGATATACATGTCGTACTTCTTTTAACTCCAGGGAATGTAGGGTCCCCTGTTAACATGCAATGTCAATTGTTCATACCGATAACGCCAATCGATAACGCCAATAAAAAAAATTATATGAATAAATATTAAAAAAAATAGAACACCAGTGCGCAACCTAAAGCATAGTAAGATCAATCTCTTCTCATGATTCTATTCACCACTGATTTATGCATATTTTAAGCATCTGGTGCATACACGATTGTATTGCAGTGATCACAATATTTTCTTTTCACAGTGACCGCAGAGGCTGTCATATTTGAAGTTACACAAAGTTCACGTCGTGAAAACACTCATAAATTATGTTTATTTGATCTTGAATTTTTCTGTAGAAAAAGGCCACTGGTCTACAAGGGCACAAAACGCATACCCGCTTATTTCGCCTGTTGGCTTGCACCAGAGTGTCGAAGCAGGACACCCACCGGACTTCGCTGGCAAAGTGCAAAGGAATATGTTTGATTGTTTTAAAACTAAGGTACGCCATCAACCTTGAGTATTTAAAAAACAAGATTAACGCAGACAAATGCATATTACATTAATTCAAACACTTTGCAATAGGTAACATTACGAAGAATAATACTTGCTGAAATTATCCATTATTATTGCATTCGGAATAATCGAAGGAAGAAGTAACGTGGCGCATATGAGTGGAAGCTCTAAGCAGACGCCGGGCTAACGCTTATCCCGTTGGAGGCTACATAAATCTGCCAGATTGAACGCGTATCTCGAGTGTATTGATCCGCGTTTTTGGTTTCTATTTTTTCAAAATTGGGCGTACTTTTTTCGGTGTTTATTTTAAAAATTAATTTTCGTTTTTTTTTCGGCGCATATTTATGCCCACAAAAGTTTATCGGCTTTTTTTCGGTATATATAAAATAAACACCAACGGACGTCGCATCAGATGATCCTTCTAAGTCTGATATTTGTGATCAGTCAAAGAATAACGATACAGATACATCAAAAAATAAATGGACTCTTTATTTCGCATGTGTTTGTAATGTAAAAGAAACAAGAAAAAAAAACACACACAAAAGTACAAGCAAGTCAGATACGAAGCCTATGCTGAAAAAACATGGAACTTCACCTTCTGTACATAAGAATTACGTGATCTTATTATAGTACCACACAAATGTACTTTTCCAGGTTCTCCTCGTTGATTCGTACTCTTTCCTTCCTGTTAATATGACCCTGAGCTTCGAGAATGCCCTCTCAGCACTAACACTGGACACTGGCAGGCTGAGGAGACGAAGCGCTGCCTGAGCCAAAATCGGCCGATCAACCAAATGTGACCGCCACAAGAGACATGGTGCGACGTTCTAAAGCCCGACATGACATGCAGAGCTTTCATCGAGTCAGTCTTCCTTACAACGTGTTTGAAAACACGTTCGTACATAGCGAAGCCATGGGGCCTTTTGGACTTGATGATTTGCTCATTAAACTAAAACGTCGTAATGGCATCCGGGTATCCCATACATTCGGACACGTTTCGATAGACACTGTCGTTCCACTTTTTCGCCACGGCTCTGCGGTATACGACTACAAGGTCAAAGTGACCTTTCCGGTTAAAACTGACCTTTATAAAATGGACTCGACGTACTTTTATCGGTTTTTATTGGTTTAAATAAAAAATGCCGAACTCTAGAACTGACCTTTTTCGGTTAAAACCGAATTTACGAAAATGGATTCGGCATACTTTTATCGGTTATTATCGGTTTAAATCGAAAACTCCGAATTCTACTTATAATGCAATTAATGCAAAGGTGCAAGCGAGCTAGACAATAATGATAATAAAAATAAAATCCGCCCGGTACCTGGTTCAATACCAGAACCAGGCGGATTATTTTGGTCGCGCACCACTCACCTAGTTCTCTTTAAAGATTTGTGTTTCTCCTTTGTCCTCTTTGTTCCCTTTCTCCAGGGATTTTTTTTATCACTCGAGCGTGTATTCTTTCAAAGACAATACAAGGTTACTTTTTCAACTTAGAATGCGTGTTTGGTGTGGGTGTCTTAGTGAAAACGTAAGACGCAAAAGCAACAGATGAAAGCAAGGCGCGAAAAGTTATAAGGGACGCTACGATCGAAAGTATACGCATATAGCATCACTACCGCAGCAGGTCATTCTCGCGGTTATCGTCTGTGCCATTAGCTGGGGTGAGCGACCATGTGACCATGCCGAAAACCAATAAATGTCGTCGTTACATAAACGATTGCCCGGAAATTTACCGGCCCATAAGCATTTCCGACATAAGACGCCTTTTTACGGTATAATAGGTGCTATCGCAATGATTTCCCAACCTGCGATAAATACTTAAAAAATAGCGCTTTGATTGGGGTTTCGGGCTAAATACTTGTGAACTGATTTTTTTTTTAATTGAGCAGTTTGCGTAGCGTTGTCATGCGAATATCTGTAGGGAAAACGATCGCTTCAAACTTCGCGGCAAAGTAATGAAGCCACACATCTTATTCAATTCAGTGGGCCGGGCCAAATCAACCTGGTCCATCGGCGACGAGATGTTTTGGTGGCACACTCTCATTGCCCATATCCCTGACGTCATGACCGCGATTACTATTAGCGAGTGACAACTTAGATGGTACGTGAAAATGTATGGCAAATTGCTAGTGAATTCTGTTGCATACGTGAAGCCTTCTAGCATCACAAACATTTTTTGATTCTGTTAGCCTCTGGTCTTCTTAGAAGTTTGTTCAGCAGCACGCCTAGCCCCTTCAGCCAGACGCTTACGTTCACGGCGCTCTTCACCAGATAATTTAACGAGGTGCATGTGTACACTTGATATCATAAAACCTGGCGATCTTCCAAAACCTTCTAACCCAATCCTCCTCTCCCACCTCGCCTCCTCGCCTACCTCTCCTTCTCATTCCACCCCTGGTCACGTGACCTCCCTGTTAACCAATCAGCGCCCAGCACCTCACTCCTCCTCTCCCACCCGTCAAGCAATCAGTGTCGAGCCTCGCCTCCACGCTTTTATCCAGGCTTCAGTTTTTTATGCTTCACGAAATGCCGAACACCTAACCAAAGAGCGTTTCACGGTAGAACGCGTGACAAGGCGTCGAGCTGCTCTCTGCTCAAGACGACCTAGTGAGCGTTTAGCCAATCGTGGAAGGCCGATCACAGCGACGCTTTTCGTCGCGCACGTCGCCTCTATTCACTGATAAGGTGGCAGAGCATCTCTTTTGAACAGCCGGCCTCCAGCACGCGCTCGTTGCCTTCCGCCGTGCTTTGCCTGCTCGTGCACGCTCGACGCTCACGAGGGACCGAAGCGTTGTCGAAAGCAGGAAGTTCGCGCTGAAGGCGGCACAAGCCGTTTTCGGCCTGTCACGCTAGGATACAACAGAATGTTGTATCCTAGCGCTAGGATACAACAGAATGTTCTCAAGCGCTGTTGGGTCGTTAAAAAAAATGTCATATAAATAAAGCAATGAACACAGTGCATTGAAACTTTTACAAAGATGTCCTTAGACTATGCATTCATCGTACTCAACTTGAGTGAGTGCTGGTATAAGGAAAACAAAATATGGTGCTTGAGAAAAAGTTCGTTTTTCCCCCCCAAGAATATGAACAGAAAACGAAGAAAAAAAAAACGACGAAAATCGTCTGTTTAATGCTGTTTGTTCACAGATGGCAGCACACACACTAGGACTTGCTGGAGCTGTTTTAGGATTTCCATCTTAGAGTAGATGTTACGTTTTTTGTCATGTTTTTTTGTTGTGCCGAGCTGTATCAGCGTTAACTCGACGGTTTTTGTCGTTTTCCTCCCTCGGCAGAAAAATAAAGTTTTTATGTTTACTTTCTTTTTAGGAACTTATACATAAAGTTTGAGTATTATAAATGAACCCCCTAATGGCACAGTTGCGAAAAACGATGGATTGTACTTTGTTTACTGCTTTATTTATACCACCACGTATTCCAGCACGTATTCAAAAAGACCGTCAGTCTCCACAGGTGGGTAATCTGTATGGAGAAAACTGCATGAAGTTTCCGGGAGGACGAACAGACATCCATGACGATGGGGGTCTGTGATGACTGGGAGTCTTCTTGAACGCGTGATGGAAACGAGTGAGAACCCTCGCAGTACCCTCGTTCAGGAAGGCATCCTAAAGTTGCGCCACTTCGTGATAAGGGCCTAAATCTAAACGGTCATTACGTGGGGAAGCAGCTACGGAGGATGTATTTCCCTGTTGTGTGTATATGAATACATTTTTACATTGCTCTTGTTTTTTACAACGCAGCTCTTAGGCGCCCGTTTCCTGGTTGAGCGGCATCGGCGTCGCCGTCGGCGTAACCGAGCGTTGCATTATGGGACATTGCCCATAATGACGTCACATGTGACGTCACGAGGGTAAAGTTTCCCCCTAAATTTAGCGGGAAATTTTACTGCTAAATTTAGCGGGACGTTTTGTTATAATGACGTCACACGTGAATTTTCACGTCACGTCTCACGTCACGTCACATGTACTGTCACATGTGAATTTAGCGGGAAAATTTCCCTGCTAAATTTAGCGGGAAATTTCCTCGCTTAATATAGCGGGGAAATTTTCGCTAAGTTCAGCGAGAAATTTAGCGAAAATATTCAGCCAAAATGGGAGGGGAGCAGGAGAGGACGATGGGAGGGTACGGAGGGGGAGGAGGGGTATACGCTTTGCTCCGTATCCTACCCTCCTCATTTTCCTCAAGAGCTGACCTCCAATTCGGCATTGCAGAGAATCGTGAATGTCTTCAATTTTTTTTTTCTTTACCCGGTTCATCTGAGGTTAGAAAAAGAAATAAAGAAAAAAAACATTCCTCCTTTTTAAAAAAAAGGCTATGAAATTCTCCCTTGTTTTTAGGTCGCATTTGTAAAATCTACTCGTAGTAAAATGTGAGACAAACAGGGATATTCGGGTTCGTTTTATTTTGAGAGAGATACAAAATACGTTTTGGAATTAACATACCTATATATTTCTTTTTCTGGTTGATGTGCTTGTGAATAGCGATTGCGGCTACATGGTGGCAGCAGACGGCACCGAAACCATCATGCTGCATTTCGAAAGCCGCCGAGCCGCTTCGATCGGGCTTTCATTGTTTTCGGATCAGTGTTTGAAATCCTTCTTCAGCCCAGAATAAATTTAGGGCTACGTATGGCTTCTTCCTCCACAATTCTTTTGTTTTATTGAAAAGGTACTCAAGAACAGGTCAATCGCCAACGAACATAGTTGTTTTTTTCTTTTTTGTTTTTCGATCAGAGGTTGGCTAGGAGTTGCTTTTGCTTGTAATAACTAGAAGAGTTTCCTTCAATTTTGTCTGGAGATATCGTGGTCTTAGAGTTACTTTCGCTATTTGTATACCTTACAATTTGAGTTCTCGGCGAACACATAATGTGGCGCTTTCTCGGTTTTCTCGAAGGCATGCGGACGTCGGGTCAAGGATGATACT